CCACGACCAGGAGGGCGAGGAGATCGACGCCGACGTGGCCGCCTTGGATGAGAGTGGCTGAGGACGAGTCCTACAATGCCATGACCATCGAGATGCGGGGGGCCAAGGTCGACGAATCCGAGATCGTTCTCGAGGCCGTCGACAAGGGAGAAGAGAACTCCGACGACGAGCTAGACCGCGTCGAGATCGCCATGTCACAATACATTGGCAACACAGCGGAACAGCACGGTTTGTCCATTGTGCCTGACGATGAGGACAAGGACAAGTGGCTCCTGCTGGGCGATGACACCCATGACTTTGGGTGGGATACAACGAACCTGCCCCCAGGAGTGCACCGCGCTGCGCCGGAAGGCCAGTCGATCATCATCGCGGAAGGAGATTTGTTCGACCAGGAAACTGTTGTGTCGTTGGAGCTGGTGTCAGAAGCTGATGATTCCGAGGCGGCAGGGATGAGTTCCATGATCACCGCGGAGTCGGTCGCTTTTGAGTCCGTGACGGAGGGCACCAGCACGTCCAAGCAACCGCCAACCCCGCCGCCACCAAGGCGCGGAACTGCTGCCAAGAGCGCTGTGGGGGAACCCCAGTCGACTGGTTTCATCGACATTGGAGACGAGTCGGACCCCACGGCTGCCGGTTCGGCCGACAAGCCCCAGGTGAAGGCGATGCCGAGGATTGCAAAGGCCAAGGCGCCGCCTGGCAACGCCGAGGGGGAACCCCGGTCGAAGAAGCAGAAAGACCCTAAGCAGGAGAAGATCTTCTGGGAGGACTGGGCCAAAACCCGGAAGATCAACACCAAGATCCCGGCCGAGGAGCAGTGCGAGTGGCTCGAGGTCGAGGATATGGGGCATGTCCCCAAGGTCAACATGGACCGTGACTATAGGCTTGTGGCTATCTCGAAAAAGATGTCATACTTCCTCCGGGGAGGGGCATTCAAAGACGGGAAGCCACACCCACCGTTCCGTGGAATCGATTTGTCGGTGGAGTTCGATGCACTGGTCAGGCATTTGAACGACCGGATCGCCAATGTCATGCCTTGGGAGGTGATGATCTGCATCCGGAATAACAACACCCGGAGATTCCGCGTGATGGTTGGGCCCCCTCCATTGGGGGAAGCATCCTGGAAAGGATTGCCGTATCAGGCGTTGCGGGTGAGGGCCGTGCAAGGACACCACAACGAGCTCACCAGGAAATACACTGAGCAGGCGATCCTGACGAATTTGTATTCCTTTGACGAAGAGTTCACTGCGGCAAAGTACTTGGGCGGGCAATACCCGAGAGCGGTACGGCATCCCGAGCAGACGGATCTCTGGCGCAGGGGCTTCCCAGCTGTTCTCTACCATACCTGTGACCTCAGGTCGGCCGAGAGCATCCTCAAGTTTGGCCTGGTCCCGGGGGGCTATCCGAAGTCGACAGGCAGAGCCCACGTCTACTTCAACCCCACGCCACCTTGGGAGGCACAGATGAGGAAGCTGGCGGGAACGCGAGCCGGAAGGCCCGTCACGATTGCTTTCGATACGGAGCTTATGATGCAAGACGGCATTCGACTCTTCACGAGCGATGAGGCGTTTATGTCTGCCGATTGGGTTGGAAATGCCTATATTATTTACGCTTTCCATACCCGCAAGAATGAGTTCCTCTATTTCAATCGTGCGTACCCTGAGCTTCGCAAAAGGTATCGCGAAGCGTTGACATCCGAGCTTGCGCCTGGCCCCCAGGACGTCAATCCGAACTTCTTCAGAAGTGAAAACACCCTGACCGCAGAAAAGGCATGGAGGCATTGGCGGACCGTCGTTGAGGGGACGAAGAACGGCAAATTGCTTCCTGGTGCCGTGACTGAGATTGCCACGATCGATGAGCTCGCTCCCCGGAAGGGGAAGTCGAATGAGAGACCTGCAGGGCCGACATATCAGGTTGCGCCTGCAACCCTTCGACGGGTGCCCGAGCTCTCCAGGGGAGAGAAAGGGTATGGTCGCGGCTGGAACAACCTTCGGAACCGCTACCAGAACGAGCCAGATTGGGAAGACCTCTTCTTCACGACCATGATGAAGATCCCGGTTGTGAAGTGCTGGAACAAGAGGTGTGGCAACCAGCAGATCGACGGCTACCTTTTGTGTCAGGAATGCCGGTCAGATATGGTCGAGTGGACGGATGCCCGGATCGCCACCGAGGTTGTGCGCCTTGAGCACACCGCATCCCTCCAAAACATGGTCTTCTACTTGGAAGACCTCCAGGGGGGCGGTGGGAAGTGGATCCGCTCCAAGCATCACTTCAAAGAAGGCGACAAGCGGGGAGGAATCTCCGTCGAGGCGTCACTCAGAAAGACGGCAAAGACGCATCTGACCAAAGCGCTGGCAATGGGCTGCGAGAAGGTGTCCGACCGGCTCTCGGTCGACCCGTTCTATGCCTATAATTGCGCTACGCAAGGGTTGACTCCTGAGAGCCTTGACTTCTTAGGCAGGATCGCCCGAGCGGTCGTTGCAGACCCTGGCCGCACACGGGAGGAACGCGATCGGGGAGGGTCTCAGAACACTGGCACGAAGTTGGTGTTCATTCCCAGCCCCAACAAGCGCGATCCCCACGAGTTGAACGTGTCCACGGAGGCTTTCATTGCGCACCATGCGAGATTCTACAGCATCATGCAGTTTGCGGTTATGTGTGCCTATCGTTTCATTCCGGGCAAGCAGGTGCCAATTATCATTGGGCACAGCGGATCATACGTCCCGGAAGGGAGCGTCGAGAATATCTTGGAGGTTATGATCAGTTTCATTCGTGCCTCCTGGATCAAGTACGACTCCCAGGGAACGATCAGCACCGGCGAACTCGAGATCCCGCAGTTTTCCTCCGGCCGGACGCGGACCTATCCTGTCGAGGCGAGAAACACCCAGTGGAGGGCAATCACCCGGTCCATCCGCCCCGAGCCCTATGCAAAGGGCAAGGGCAAGGGCAAAGGCAAGAACAAGGGGCGCCAGGACTGGAGCTCTTGGAATTACGGGTGGTCCTATGGATGGGATCAATGGCGTCAGGGCCCGTGGGGATGGTGAGCACCCGCATCAATCACAAAAGTTTAGCTTTTGTTGCGGTAATATTTTCAACTTTCATTGGTGATGTCATGTTCGAAAACTATTATCTTTCATCCATTGATGCCGCAACATTAGCTGTGCTAAGTTTGCACGCCCGGCGGAAGCTGCGGCCGTAGGTCAATCCACGGCCGCCACCACCGGCTGTCATTTCAGTTTTGCCCAGCGGAAGCTGTGGTCGTGAGATCACCTCCGTTTGCGGCAACAGTATGAATTCAGTTTCAAGCATTCACATGAAAAATCACATGTGTTTTGCCCGACGGAAGTCGTGGTCGGCCGATTCGAGTGGCATGCTCCTGCAAAAGACCAAATGCATTGCAGTTGCAGCGGCCATTGATGCGAGCGGCCTCATATCACCATGGCTTGCCACCTATCCCACTGAGGCTCAACATCTTCATTGTCGCGACCTCAGAGGACTTTGCTTCAGGCCTGGGGGGGAAACATGTACAAAGTACTGTTCTCACCAACGCACCTCTGCAAAGCGGGGGGTGTTGATAGGTAATGGCATACCGACATGATACTGGCTCAAGAAAATTGACTGCCGCCCGTGCTGACTTTTAGGTAGATCCCACCTTTCAACAGTACTGTTAACCCCAGATTAATAAACCCCTGGTTGATTAATAGGGGGTGTCCCCTTTTAGTGGGGATTCATCACTTTTGGAGGGAACACCGCCCTAATAATGGGACGGGTTTATTAATCCTGGGTCAACATTACACTTAAAGACACAGCCATTTTTTGAGCAGGCCCCAGGGCAGAGTCAACCCCAGTAACAAACCACCCTCACCGACTTCCAGTTGGGTTGGTGTTTGTAGCACCGTCCATGGGGCATAGCTACCATTTTTGTGTTTCAGCTCCGAACAGGATTTGCTCAACAAATCACACTGAGATGGTTCCGGCACTAGGTAGGGGAAGACACCTCAAAACAGCGAGAGCACCCATCAGTCAGTGATCAATGCGGAAGAATCGGCGCTTCTCATGAAGGTGAGTCATTTGTAAGACTTCTTGGACCTCTCGACTTGTATCCTAGAGGCAAGCATAATTCGGTCACCGACAAGAGTGCAAGCACTGGACGGATTCCCAGCTTATCATGTGGTTGATTCCCATGCCGGGAATAAACAAAGGTCGGGAATCAACAATTGTGATGGAATGGCAGTGATGCCATTGTAGGCATGCACTCACTGTGACTTCAAGATATTGTTGACGAAGAGCATTGGTGTACGCCTACAACTGATGAAGCAGGTTCTTCTGCAAACTAACGGAGGAACCCGGATAGGGCGAAAAGAGTGTCTGAAAGGATTGCACAAGCCTCACACCCTGAGTTCGGACTTTAGTCGCTTTTGGGGAAGACCTTGGTTGCTCGTTTTTTGGCCAGTAACCCCCCTTTGTTTCGAAGCCGATGGTCTCCTTTTTGATTGCTTTTTCTGTTGGGTGGGATTGTTTCTAAACAACAGCAGTGGGAACCATTCTTTTCTTCGGGGTTTTGCAATCCGTTGGGTGACAACGGAATTGGTCATCTGGGTGACGAGTGTGTCAAACTGTCAGAAGTTGGTTCGAAAAGCAACGGAGACGCCATGGTGACCGATTGCTTTGTTTGGTAGGTGTCTGCAAAATCGGGGGACCCTCAAAATTGGTGGTTGTTCCTTTTGCTCCCCTATAAGACCCCCCCCCCCAAAGCGTGCTGTCAAAAAAAGAGACACCCCAGGTGGTTGGTTGCATTATTTGCAGAGCTTCATCCAGCCTAGGTGCAGGGTTCAATCCCAACAGTATGGCTATGACAGTTTTTGTGGGGGGAAACCACCATTTGCGGATGACTTTGTAGGTTGCGGGACTCTTGCTCTTTCTTCAAGGATTGAAGCCCAGTGTCTTCGGGGCGGGGTCTTCCCTCAGTTTCGGATCAGCGGAAAAGGGATCCCGCCAGCCAGGCGTACTTTATCGCGGCTTGCCAGATCCACGACATTGAGGCGGGGTTTGCTTCGGATCGCAATCCGGCTGGGAGTTTTGTTTCGCAACCCGGACTCCAATTTTTCAGGAAGGGGGTTTCCTTGAACAAATCAAACAACACCAGGGTGCCCTTCTTGAATTTTTGCCCATGGCCACTGGGGCCTGGGGGGAGATTCCACGCATGATCATCTTATGATCATGACTTAATTTGGTCTTACAGTACCCTAGAACCCGTTCCATGAAGCTTAGAGCCACTGGTGCATGTCTTGGAAGTCCCTGTTGGTTTGGGGAGGACGAGAACCCACATTCCCACCAGTAGCGCGGGGTACTTGCCCCAGTTTTCCCCTCCAGCCAGGTATTTGAACTTGGTTCCATGCCCGACTTTTTAGAATTGGATTGATGACATATCTCAGCCGGACTTGGTTCCAAGCCATGCCCGACTTTTTAGAGTTGGGTTGATATGACATATCCTGAAAAGCATAAAACCACCCAGATATGACAAAGGGATGGTCATAAAACCACCAATTGTAGGGATCAAAGAGCCACCCAGGGGACCCAGGGGACGGTGGGTCGAGGCCCGGGACCCCTACATCGTGCGGGTGGCCGACGCGCTGTCGCTGGACTACTTTGCCGCTTGGAAAGCACCTGAAGTTCACAGAAGATGGCAAGAAGAGCGTGTCTCTCTGTGTGTGTGTGTGTTGTTGTCTGTGTGGCTGTCTGTGTGTTTGTTTTTGTTTTTTTGTTTTTTTGTTTTTTGGTTGGTTGGTTGGTTGGCTGGTTGGCTGGTTGGTTGGTTGGTTGGTCGGTCTGTGTGTCTGTGTGCGTCTGTGTGTTTGTTTGTTTGTTTGGGTGTCTGGGTGTTTTTAACCCCCCCGAGTATCGATTGTTGCCTCCACAATCTTCAAAGTCACCCTCCAATAGGTTCAAGGGAAGCAACCCCTTCTGACTTAAAAACCCCAGGAGCTCCAGATGGGTACTTTGTTTTTGGGGGAGTGTCGCTAAAAAAAATAAGCCGCACCCGTGTCTTTGTTTCAGGTTGGTGAATTGCAGTTCAGCCCTATTCTTAGCTGGGAACAAGTTCTTTCAACGAGGAACTCCAAAAACAGAACTGAACAGCACAGAAGGAAACGCCGTGTGAAAACTCCAACATGGGACCGGGGTAACCGCCCGAAGTCCTAGCCCCTGCAACTGAATTGCGGCCTTGGTGGTTTCCCTTTCAACTTAGGAGCAGCCTCAAACAATACAAATCCTGCTTTGGCTTTCTTCCCCGAGAAAAGCTGAAGCCTCGCGCCATAGTGGGCGCCGGTCCAATGATCCATTTGCTTCTGAAATGGTTTTTGGGACGTTTGCGGCCTGTTGCTGGTGTGTTTGACCAGAGAGGGGGTTTGAAGGTGTTCCATTTTTCCAGAAGGGGGGTCCATTGATTTGGAGCCCTTCAACATGGGCTTAGGACATTTTGCGGCACATGGTTCAGGCGAGACACTATGCCTCCCAGATTGCTTAAAAGAGCCAGATTCGTACACGCCGATCTCCTCTCGAATGTCCTGAAGCTCACTTGGACAGATTCCTTCGCAAGGGCATCGTTTAAGCACATCCACAGTACTCGCGTTGTTCTTCTTCTTTTCTTTTTCTTTCTTTAAAAAGCCAGAAGAAACAACAATGACAAAACAACCGCAGCGCCTGGGGCCTTGTCTTCCGCGGCGAGTCTTCGGCTTCGGCTTCGGCTGAGGAGACCCCGCTGTCGGAGATTCAGCTGGCCCTGGACCCCTCCGGCTTGAAGGCGGGGATCTTGTGGCGGGAGAGGCCGCCTTGTGGCGCCGTTGTTTTTGTTTTTTCTCCTCTTTGGCTTCTCCATCTTTTAAGAGGGAGGTGGAACGCCGACAAACACGGTTCCACATTGCGTTTACAGTCGTGGTTAGACAACCCCCTCTCCATCTTTTGGCGGGGGGGTGATTTCAAGTCCTTCCTCAAGAGGCGTGTCTGAAAAGGCGGATGCAAGAGTTCGTCAGATTGGGGACCAGAGTTTTTCAAAGCCCGGGTTCAAAGTGTTGAAGCCCGCCCCCCAGCCCTTTTCAGGGGTTGCCAAGACAGGGCCCGAAGAAAGGGTGAAGAACGGGCTGTCTCCTGGTTGCGCCCGCAAGACCTCCCCCTCTTCGATAGGACCATGTTGGGCCAGTTGAACCCTGAGGTGGTTTTGGAAAAGACACCGTTAGGTTGGGGACCCTGCCAAAGGTCAGGAAGGTAAATGCCTTGGAATGATCCTCTAGAGGCACTGAACCCAGGAAGTACGCTGCCATGCCCTGACGTTTCGGCCGAGAATACAAGAGAACTGAGCTTGCAATTGGCGCAGAGGGCAATGCTCGAACCACGTACCACGGCGACTATGTGTGGGAAAAAAAGCCCTTGGCAACCAAAAAAAAGGAAGGTGTGTGAAGGCGGGCGCCCGGTAGACCACTCATGGAGCCGGCGAGCCGAACCAACTTTGGGTTCCCGATCCTGACGACCAACCAGACACCTGGGAAAGGGGGTTCCTTCGGTTTTTGATTTTTCTTCGGGTTCCTTTGGTAAACAAGGACCTACTAGAGGCTGTCGGTCGGGGAAAAAAAACCAAAAAAAACACCTTCCTTTGGTTTCCACTCACCAGAGATGCCATAGAGATGCCAATTTTCCACTCCAAGATCAGATAGCAGCCAGGTTTTGAGCTAGCCTTTGGCTTGGTAAAAGACCGGTGACCCGAACCAGGGTTGCTCCTATTCGACCTAGAAAATTAGCATCCAGAGCTTGCCCCACTTAGCATGAGGAGCATAGGTGTCCTATTTGGTTGTTTTGCTAGAAAAATAGATGGCCCTGGTTTACCTGGTGGTTTTTTCAATCATCTACCAGGGAACCCATCGATTTCCTCTAAAAGGACACCTATGATGAGGAGTGTTCCGCGATGTCAGACACGCGATTTGGCCGAATCATGTTCCGCGGGAAGGACCAAGCCCTGCAAGCATTGCGATGCCCCATGTGAAGGGGTGTCCCGTTTTTCGGAATCTGACCCCCTCAAACGGCTCGGGTTTCCTGAAGGGTTTCCTTCAAAGCCACAAACTTTGCGTGCCGGCGCGCCCATATCGGCATTTAATAGGGTTCCTGTGTGTGTCATGTTTTGGCCCATTTTTTCGATCGGTGAGCTGGAGCCCAAATGGTGCTTGCCGCGCTTGCCTACCGCCCATGTTTCTGACATGCGCAGCAACCAGGACAAGAAGGAAGATATCCTTACCAGGACCTGGGTGTTTTCAGATTTCTTTAGCTGCCTTTCCACCTTTAGTACTCGTTGAACCTGGCTCGGAGATAGTATGGCTTCTTTTAATTCGCCCGTCGCTCATGAAGATGAAGTTGGGATCTGCACTGTTGATGTCCTTGCACTCAACATAGTAGTCCTTGATGTACCGGAGGAATTCAGGATTGGGAATTTCGGTCTTGAGAGCCACAGGATTCTGATGAATATCAGGGCAGGACTCGAGCTCAAGCTTCATTACTTTACGGGTGCGTCCTCGTTTTGAGATGTACCTTTGAAAGCCATCCAAAAGAGCATCTACTTTCAGGAAGCCTCCAGCTCCGTTTTGTTTCTCGTCTGGCGCTGGTGGAACCACAAGTCAATGCCCCTCACATTGACAGATGGAACCCACAGCCGCCAAGAGAGCCTTCCACTTGGGGAAAACGAGGCACATCTCCAAGCCCACTGCTCCCAGAATGGAGCATGCTCTCGACGTACGCAACTTCCCGCATGCCAGGGTGAGGGGTTTTGGAGGACAGGGCGGTCCTAAGGCCCACCGATGGCAAGGTGCAGGAGTCCTCTATCTGCAATAGCGAGCATTTGCGAGTAAAACTGGGTCACCCATTATGTAATGTATGCGAGGGGTATGTATTTTCTGAACAGTTGGCCCATCCGGGTTGTGAATCGTAACTCGAGAGAGATGGACGTCTTCTCCGGGTATGTCGGTAAGCGTGGGAAGCTGGGGTTATGCTGGGAGGGGATGTTTGTGATGTCAAAGATGAGGCTTGGGTTGGCGAGAATGATTTCAATTCACACACACACACACACGCTACCAATCACTTGCCACCAAAAAACTTCACATGGCCACCAATTCAGACTAGGGAAGAAACAAGCCACTAGCCCGAACCTCGAACAGACGATTCGAAGACTCGGAGACGCTAAGATGGTGACTCTTAAGGGTAGCCCAGGTTGAACTTTGGTGATTCCAAGATAGTTTCTGGCTAAGCCTAAAACCACCTTGGAAAACTCGAGTTGGCCTAACCAGGGCTCCTTAAAAGATACATGTTGCCCCTTTGAAACATGGCTTTTCCACCAAAATAAAGGGAAATCACCATGTACAAGTTGCAATGTTCAGGTGTTTTTCATGCATCCGGATCCCTGCCAACTCATCGTACCGGCGTCTGATGAAAAATTCGAGGACTCGAGAGATGGACGATGCCGCCGGTTTAACAGCTCCAACCTGAGAGTCGCGGGACCGGGACGGGGATGGATTTGATCCTCGGATTTCGAATGGGAGAAACACCGACACATCTATCAACTGGTGGATTTCCTGGAATTTTCGTCCAGATGAGCGTGGGTCAAGGAAACAAAAGTTGAAATGGCGTTTTTTTTCAAGCTCCACTTTTTGGTGGATGTTTGGGGCATGTGATTGGTAGCCTTTTCAGGTTGGCTCAAACCAAAGGAACCTGCCGCCGTCTCCTCCACAGACGTCTCTTCAAATGGGGCAACCGGCCAAAGATGGGGAGACTGGGAAAGCTGAGCCGTAGACGTGGGTGTGTTTGTTTCCTGTTTTTTCCCTCCCCCCAAAAATAATTGAAGAGAGAGGTGTTTTTTTTTTGGCCTTTGGTTTTTTCCTTTTGAGTACCACTAAGTGGTACCAACTCCTTAAACAACTGACACCTGGTTCCTTTCGAGGGCTCTACTTGATTCCAAGGCAAGTTGAAACCTCGGGGTTGCCGGGGCAAATCAACCCAGTTCATGGCACTGGGATTTTCATGTCGTTGCCATGCAACCCACCAGTTGGAACGGGGAGGTTCCGTGGGGTAACCAAAGAGAGGAACCCAGTGTCCTTTCCTTTCCGGTCGATCGGTTTTTAGAAGGCACACATGGGTATCAAAATTGAACCACCAGGGAACCAGGTTTTGGTTCATATTTTCCACTTGCCAGGGTTCCATTCGGGGTACATATTTTTGAGCCACAGCCACATCAAAGCAAGGGTCTAAGCAAGGTCCTCTGCGGGAGACAGGTGAGGAGGGTCGGAAGAGGTGGCGCTCATGCATCGGTGATACTTTATTTTAGTGTCTGAAGAAGTGTCGGGTGTCCAGCATTGGTTCTAAGATGGTTTCCACTACCACACCATGCCGGGAAGCGCGGAAGCAATGAATTTACCCTGATGGTTGGTTTTTCGCGTCAGTGTCTGGGCCCGGTGAATGGCCACCGAGTCAGAGCTAGCAATGAGACGAGAGTAAAGGCGGATCCCGACCGCCTGAAGACAGTGCACCACATCCCGAAGCCGGGAGCATATCCGGATGCCTCAGTGCCCCGCATTGTGGGCACGTGTGACATTTGGGTCACACACACACACACACACACGCACACTGTGCAGGGGTCCCGGAAGTACTGTGGATGGACGTTTCAAAGTGGTGCAGGGTTTGTAGCATCCACAGTATCACCACATGTTCTGCCGTTGTTGCCCTTGGATCGTGTCCCCGCCGCGATCTCACCGTTGTCAGCTCACGCAGATTGTTTGTTTAATCCACCACGGCAGAACAACTTGGATGCAAGCATCAAAGTGCGCAGGAACAGAGGTGGAGATTCACACGTGGTATCATTCGGTGGATCATCCGTGCAACGGATCCACTCTGGACAAATGCTGGGGTGACCGCTTAAGTGCTCCAAACAAAACCAGTTCATACGTCCCCTACCTGGGATTTACCCTATATACATGCCCAGGCGACTGATTGAGCAGGGATATTAGTTTCACTTCCTAAATACTAAGCACTTGGGTGCTCGGCCAAGTCAGCGTGGTTAGCATCCTGGTTCTATCCCATGCCGGGTTACCCAGGATAGTGCCCTTGTACGCTTTTTTGGGGGAGGGTTCCCTTACCGGAATAGACTACAGAAAAAGGGTACCCTTATTCTAACCTCTCTACTGGAGGACCTAGTATAACCTAGGTGGGTTTGTTACTTCGGATTCCAGTGGAATCCATTCGTGAAAGGACCAGCAGGCAGGGTTCTTTCTCCCTTAGGGGCGGCAAGCCTCTCATAGACACCCAGGTTTGGGAGGGGTGTTGAGGGCGCCTTTGAAGCCAGCCACCATGAAAGGAGCGCCAGTTGCAAAGGGAAAATGTGTTGAACCGATGGCAATCAACTTTTAACTCTCATCTCAGCCAGTGGATCTCAGTTTCGCCACTGCAATGGGTAACCCTTCGCCCTTCTCCTTTTCCCTTTTTGGTGGAGGGTTCCGCTACTGAATGGACTGCCGAAAAAAGTTGGTACCCTTATTCGAACGTCTCCACTGGAGGACCCAGCCTTGGTTACCTACAAAACCAGCTGGAATCACTGGGTTCAGACATAAAGTCGCTGAACGAACAGATGGGTGTGGGTCAAAATTAAACCACTAGGGGACCGCAGGTGTTAGTCCATGTTTCCATTTACCAGGGCAAGCCATTTTGGGTACCTATTTTTGACCCACACCTAGATGGCGCCTTGTCCGGGGCTTCAATCCAGGTCGCGGATCGATCGAACTCGTTTTCTGAGGCTCACAAGTTGGCAGTGCATGATGAGGGCTGGGCGCTCATGGGACCCGATGTCGAGTTGGGTTTTGGGTTTGCGGGGTTGGGTTTTGCACTTGAACCCTGGAGGCAGCCGGAAGGACGCTTCATGGTATGGTTGCTCGTTGTTTTGACTTGCGTTCAGTTTCTATTTCCGGGAGAGGTCCCATACCAAATAGACCACAGAAAAAAGTGTACTCTTATTCTAACCTCTCTACTGGAGGACCTAGGTTTGGTGGGCGTAAATCTGAAACCGTTCTTCGCCAGCATGTCTTGCCGTCTGTTGTGTGTGACCGTTCATGTTCAGTGTGGGCTGCAACTGCATGGTTCTTCCTGCTGACGTATCAAAGGTTGGAGAGATACCCTCCCTCCCACTAAGATGGCATTTGTAGGAGGGTACCTTTAAGATCAGTTTCCTCTTGGAGGGACCCCCTGTCAGTTGCCATGTTAGTGGGAGAGAGGGTAAGTCGAATTTGGAGGGGACCTTAGATTGCATGTTGATCTCTGAACATCCGCAAGGCAGCAATGTGCGTTGACCCCTGTCTCATTCAAAGGTGTCTCCTTTTCGTGTCAGAGTTCTAAGGGTTAAGGGTTTTGTGCTTTTTAGCGTGGGAGTAAAGGGAAACTGCCAGCATTTGGTGCTATTCTCAAATAAACCTGATTAGTTGGGACTATTTGAGGGTTGCTCAAAACGAAGGGTTCCGATTCAATCTGGGATCAACAGGGTGCCCTTGTTTTTCTTCTTTCACGAAAAGGCCTTCACTTGGGTGTTTCTCAGAATTGGGGTTCCCTAAGATGTTGGGTTTCCTTTTGGCCTCTCTTTGAATACCAAAGGAGTTGCTCCATTTCTTGGGAACCATACAGCCCAGCTTGGACAACAGCTCCTCCATTTTTCCTGTTTGAGAGACTCCCACTTCGCCCCAGCGGCTTGGGCCATGTCCATGAAACCGGGTGCGCTTCAAGGCGCGGACAATCTGGGGCTGAAGGACCTGCTGAAGAAGGCAGGGGGGAAGGGTCCGACGTTTTGAGCGCGGACCGTTTCCGTTGCGCGGGTTGCTCGCGTTTCGGGGGGCGTCGGGCGGCAGCGGCCTCAAGCTGAAAGCTGGAAGCCGGTTCCATTGGGCTTCCTCCTGGGGGAGGGTGGGCGGTGGGCCGGGGGTTTAGAATGCCCTTTTCCTTTTTTTGGGGAGGGTTCACCTACTAAAATAGACTACGGAGAAAAACAAGGGTACCCTTATTCTAACCTCTCTACTGGAGGACCTGGTCTACGTTGAATGGATCTCAACACACAAGAAGCGGATTGCAACACGAGCGCCCAAAGGAACATATTCATGGGGTGGCGCACTTGGGTTGGAACGAAGTCGGAGCAAGTTCAAGCAAATAGGGGTCTTGGATTAAGAACCCCTTCATTCATCAAGTGGGGTTGCCCTCTTTTACGGAATCCTTTTGGGGGAACTCCCATCTATTCAATTGGGCCATATTTGGTCGCCCCCCCTATGAGAGGCCCTTCCATCTGAAGCTTCCGTCAACTTCGGTCTTTGGCTCGTGGCTTTCCTGCGATCCGGCAACTTGAACTCGGCTTCCGGTGGTTCTTCTTGGACCAGAAAGCTGGTTTGACACCTCTCAATGGGACCCCTACGCCGGGGTTTGACATCTCTCAATGGGACCTACGCCAGGGTGAAAGTAGATGGCACAGTTTCATCATGGTTTGTCCTACCCACAGAAAGGGAATTGTGCCATCCAGTTGTTTTCAGTGCAATTCCTTGACCTTGTAGCGGCTATGAACGGGGTAATTGCTTCCTCATCGTATCCAGGAATCGGCCCACGTTGAACAGGGCTCCTTAAAAGATACATGTTGCCCATTTGAAACATGGCTTTTTCCACCAAAATGAAAGGACACCACCATTTACAAGGCAATGTTCAGGTGTATAATGCATCCGGATCCCTGTTGAAGGCTCATTTCCCCACAGACGTTACTTGGCCTGTGAAGTTCAAGAGAGGAGCCACCCCCAAAATTTTCAACAGGGAGGCCTTCAAAAGGGAACCACCGACCCACCCCAAATGTTGGTTTATGTGGGGAGTAGCCCCCCAAACCACCTTATTTCAGGCTGGTGAAATATGATAATTCACCCAGATAAATCCAACTAAATGATGTCCACGGATCCCCTATTAAAGATTCATGCCCACGTAGGTGTTTGTTGCTTCTTTTTTCTGTTGCACTGGCTGGTCCGAAGGGGAACTGATCATGACTGGACAAAGAATATCATGTTTTGCAGTGCACCCAAAGCAAGGGACAGTCGTGGCTTCCAGCGCAAAGGTTGGGTCCTACCTCGTTCAAGGAAAGCAAGCGCTTGCATGGGTCGAAATCCAATTTCTGGACACACTGGCAAACGTTGAGGCCGCAGAGATCTGTGATACGGATTTGGAATCCCGTTTGGAGTGATACAGTGGAGATGGGACTCTTACTTTGGTATCACCGGGGCAACCATTTCCCGCCCTGCCCGCAAAAGGTTTCATAGGATTCCATTTCTCCCCTAACTCCGCCTAAGGCCTTAGTAGCTCTCCACCCTGGGGATTTGGTCAGGTTGTATGTGGAGAAACCGGGTGGAAGGGGGCTTTGGGAGGGGAGGGTGGGTTTCATGTGGAGAACACCGGCTGGATTTGGGGTGGGCGACTTGCCAGCTGGGATTTGAATGGCCCAGGTGAGCTTGACGGACTACGACTTCCACCAGGTTCATCATTTGGACGGCATCGAGGAACCGGGAAAAAACGCGCGCGCGCGCGTGAAGGGCCCCCCCAAAATCCCCGAAGCGCCTGCACGGGGTGCTGTGGATGGTTGCGAAATCCCATCCATTTCGTCACGGAATCATGATGCCCCTGGAAATGCCAACGATGGCTTTCACCATGGTTTCCAAGTGGTTGCAGGATTTCGTCCATCCACAGTAGGGGTTAGGGTTAGGGTTAGTTGGTTTGCTTCAGGCCTTTCGGAATGGCGGGTTGGTTTAGACTCGTGGAGGCGATTCCCCGGAAAGAGACAAACAACGAGCCGGTTTTGCCGCCGAATGAAAGTGGTGTAGCTCGGGTTGCGGATATTTGCAGAATTTGCAAGTCGTTTTTAGACTTCTTGGTTTGATACCGATTGCAAGCATCCTGAATCAACTTGCAACGGGTTTTGGCAGTGCTCACGAGGAGATAGGGCTTAAGAGCCACAGACGACTTCGCTGTTTCCCCTTCGGTGGGGGCATGAGTCGATGGAGTCGATGTGGGAAAGCAAAACGACACAACGTGGTTGCCTAGCTTGATCCTATTAGCCCATTTGCTTCTTTTGAGTTGTGGGCTGTGTGAAGACGTCTGCTTGCATGGCGGCATTATTGCTGAAGGGTTCAGTCAATTTCAATCAGGGTTGGTAGGGATGATCCAACCATTTCCGGTAGTTATGTCTAGAAACACATTCCTTTTAGTTGTGCTTTAAACAAGAACAACCAAGACAGGGTACCTTATTTCAATCCACCCGCAATTGCAGGGTAGGGGGACATTCCCAGGAAGAAGCGCAATTTTGCCAGGAGTTCCACATTTGGGGGTTGCAGGTAGCATCATTTGGGTGTCACTTGTTGTGGGGTATTCAAGGGAACCACAAAGAGTCGCAGTTTCCATTTGGAGAGAATCCCAGTTTCTCATGGAACCTTATCCAAGGGAACCCCCTTTTTGGTGTCCCTAAAGAAGAATGCAAGAAGCGGCTTGCTCATTTACCGGACCTTCATGAGGGCCCCCTATTTTCCATTGAACTCCTCCCATGTGTAATGAACCCAAGGGTACCAAGTTTCAGGGTACATGGGGAAACCTGCTTCGCGCGTCTTCTTCTTTAGGGAGACCAATCCGTTGGTTCGTTCGGGGAACCTGGATACGGTTCCATGCACCCCCCAAATATGATGGAACTCCTAGCAAACCGGCGCTTCTTCCTATCGGGAAAATGCCCCTACCCTTCAATTCCGGGTGGAAGAAACTGGGGTACCCTTCCTTGGTTGTTCGTGTGTTCATTAGGCACAAAGCCAAGAGGAATGTGCTTCTCCGGGCATTTTTCCTCCCGGAAATGGTCAACCAACCTGAACCAACCAAAACCAACCCGAACCAAACTAAACCAACCTAAACCAACCTAAACCAACCTAAACCAACCTAAACCAACCTGAACCAACCTGAACCAACCTAAAGCCAACCTAAAGCCAACCTAAAGCCAACACCAACCCCAGCCTTTGTCGCGCCTCCCCTTCCCCTTCCCCCCGCCCCCATCTGGCTGTGGGTTAAAACCAATGGTGCCATTTGGGGTGGGTGCACCACCCATTTAAGAACCTATGTTAGTGGTTGGATTGGGATGTTCACTGGGGGTACGATTTGGGTTTTGACCCCGCCCCGCTTCCTCCCCTTCCCCCCCTCCCCTCCCCCTCCCCCCCCCCAACAACTCTCCAGGAGGGCAGCGCCGTGGAGTCCGAGCAGACCCGCTACTCCGCGGAGCTCTCGGAGGATGAGACCTCCGACATCTCGGAGTTCGACGCCAAAGCCTCGGTTTTTCCGAGAGAGAACACCCGTGGGAACCTTGGAGCGAATTTTCCAAGGGATGTTTGGACTTTAGCTTTTTGCCAACTAATGGGGTTTCCATTAAACCGCTAAAAGTTAAACTTGTAGCAGGGGAGGAGAAAGCTGGTTCCCCTCTCTCCCACGAACGTGGTACCTGGCAGGGGGTCCCTCCAAGAGGAAAAGTGGAAAAGTGGTTTAGTAACCTACTGAAAGGGGCTGGGAAGCCTGGTTATAACCCACTTACGAGAACTATAATCATGGCAAGTGAGTTGCCTTTTGGTTACTGGGGGTTGGTTGCCATGTTGGTCAAACAGTTTACCCTGTCTCCCACTAATATGGCACCTGACCCGGGAATGGTTCTGTTGCCCAGTGGTGCCCCTTTTTCAACTTTTTTGGGTAAGGGTTCCGATTCCTTTAAAGTCGCCCAACAAAAAACTCGGGTGCCTTTTTTTTCTCCGCATGGCCACTGGGCAACTGAGGTGGTTCCCCTCTCTCCCACAAACGTGGCACCTGAGAGGGGGTCCCTCCAAGAGGAAGCTGATCTTCCAGGTGCCTCCCCACAAGTGCCTGGTTATAACCCGCTTACGAGAATTATAACCAGGTAGGTTACTAACCACAAACCTTACAATGCCGCTTTAAGCAGGCCACAACTTGCAACCCTTTGCCCAACTCACTGGCCTGCTGCATCCACCACATCCCATGGCATGCCCTGATGCATGCCTGCATGCCTTGCATCCTCTGCATCATCACCTGCATCCCTTGCATTTGCTGCATCCTCTGAATTTCCTGCAACCTTTGCCCACTGCATCCCTTGCATCCACTGCACTGCAACTTCCAAGCAACACATTGAGTGAGCATGCCGTTTCCTTGCGGCAGGCTATCCACTGCATCTCCTGCATCTCCTGAATCTCCTGCATCTCCTGCATCTCCTGCATCTCCTGCATCTCCTGCATCTCCTGCATCTCCTGCATCTCCTGCATCTCCTGCATCTCCTGCATCTCCTGCATCTCCTGCATCTCCTGCATCTCCTGCATTTCCTGCATCTCCTGCATCTCCTGCATCTCCTGCATCTCCCATCTCCTGCATCTCCTGCATTTCCTGCATCATCTGCATCCCCGGTCCGCACTGCATGCCCGCATCCGTTGCATTCCTTGCATCCACTGCATCCTCTCATGCCCGTGCATCTCCGAAATCCCTATCCCAGATGCGCCTGCATCGACTTGGCATCCCTTGTCTCTGCTTGCGTTCAGTGTTTTTGCATGGCTCAAAATTAAGGACCGAGAGGACGGAAGTTGGATAAGGGTTCGGAGAAGCCACTTGAGAAGTGGTTGGTATCTAGCATCCTCAATTCTTTTGCACTGGCGAACGGGGTGTAAATGAAATGCGCAAGGCAAAAGGTTTCAAGGAACAGGAATGTTGATTGGGAACATAAACCATGGAGATAACAATGATCACATTAGCCAAATAAACGATAGACGACAAACATAGTATTACAGTTAGATCTTTAAGCATTGAACACTAGAACAAACAAACAATTTCCGGATGAAGACAGAACACTACCACTCTAAACAGCATTACCTAAGAAGAACCACAGAAGCTAGTATGTAAACGACAAGTAGAACAAATGAACACATTCGTCAAAACGTATTTCAGTCAGGAGCTATTTCAATTGCAAGGTTTCCCTTGTTTCCTATTTGTGTTATTGAGACAGGGCCAAACGGGTATGTGCTATGTGTCAAAAATCCAGGTAAGGACTGTAGAAAGAGAGGGTCCCTTTGGCTGCGTCCGAGACGTGTGGCATTTTGCTACATGGCTTACCTGTGAGTGGCCTCTCTTTTGCTAGGCAGCAGCAATGCCCCCAAGCCACACTTATTGGGGTGTCTGAGCCTGAGGGGCGCTTAGCCAGCTTGAACTGCAAGTGGAGGAGGCAATGACATTTACGGAGCCTCTTGCGAAGCCAGGAGGGATGGCGCCTTAGGCAGTGGCTCTGCCCTTCCCACCCAGCGCAGCAGCTTTCGCTCACTCACTCACTCCCTCCCTCCCTCCCTCACTCACTCACTCACTCACTCACTGACTCACCCACCCACCCACCCACCCACCCACCCACCCACCCACCCACCCACCCACCCACCCACCCACCCACCCACCCACCCACCCACCCACCCACCCACCACCCACCCACCCCACCCACCCACCACCACCCACCACTCACCACCACCTCACTCACTCACTCACTCACTCACTCACTCACTCACTCACTCACTCACTCACTCACTCACTCACTCACTCACTCACTCACTCACTCACTCACTCACTCACTCACTCACTCACTCACTCACTCACTCACTCACTCACTCACTCACTCACTCACTCACTCACTCACTCACTCACTCACTCACTCACTCACTCACTCACTCACTCACTCAACTCACTCACTCACTCAACTCACTCACTCACTCACTCACTCACTCACTCACTCACTCACTCACTCACTCACTCACTCACTCACTCACTCACTCACTCACTCACTCACTCACTCACTCACTCACTCACTCACTCACTCACTCACTCACTCACTCACTCACTCACTCACTCACTCACTCACTCACTCACTCACTCACTCACTCACTCACTCACTCACTCACTCACTCACTCACTCACTCACTCACTCACTCACTCACTCACTCACTCACTCACTCACTCACTCACTCACTCACTCACTCACTCACTCACTCACTCACTCACTCACTCACTCACTCACTCACTCACTCACTCACTCACTCACTCACTCACTCACTCACTCACTCACTCACTCACTCACTCACTCACTCACTCACTCACTCACTCACTCACTCACTCACTCAGAAAAGGAGCCTTCGCAAGTGACACAGGTGGACAATTGGGAGGTGTTGGGTGTTGGGGGAACTCCTTACATAGGTGGTTTTTCTTTTGGTTTCCCCGAAGAAAGGACAAGCGCCGAATGGGTGTCTTTGTTCAGACCCCAGCATGGCGGTTTCTTTTCGGTTTCCCTTCGAACCCGCAAGAACAAGGGCCACAAACTCAAAACAAGACGCGCCGAACATGGGAGGCGCCGTTGTCCTTTCCCTCGCCGCCCCAAAAAAGGGACCCCCCCCCCCCCCCCGAGAAAAAACAGGACACCCCCGGTGCCTTTTCTTTTAAAGTAACAAATATGCCCCCTCCCCCCGCCGAAAAAAGGACCACCCCTCGGCGCGGTTTTTTTTCTTCTCCCCAGGCGCAGGCCAGCCTGCTGGAAGAGCAGGAGCAGAGCCAGCAAGCCATGGCCAAGGCTCCCACGCGCCCTGGCGGCAGTTTTTCGATGCGCTGGTCGGTGGGTGTACGACGCTTTTATCGAAGGGGGGAGTCCGGCAGTTTTTGGGGACTTTGTTGGAAAAAACGGAGAGGACAAGAAATGCGAGGAGGAGAGGTCAGAGCTTGTGGACACTGTTGCTTTTCGACAGGGCTCCTGTAAAGATACATTTTGCCAAATTGAAACATGGCTTTTTCCATTAAAGTAAGGGGAAACCGCCATTTACAAGGCAATGTTCAGGTGTTTAATGTAAGGATAGTAAACTCTACTCAAAAGGTTCGACGGTGAGACCTCAGGTTGCCGCCTGTTCTGTGTGTCCTTTCCTTGCTAGGACTCCGTTCTTTCCAAGGTGCTACTTGCCTTGGAATGACTGCCCTGTGAGCTAAAGGGGTGTCGCAGATACTCTTTGGGTTGTGTTTACCTGAAACCAACCACTCATGTATCAGGAAGGTTTTGGGGGTGTCTACCCTGGACCGCACGGTCATCCATTGCAGCTTCAGCCTAGTTTGTGGTTTTCCCTCTTTTCGGAAGGGGTTCAAATCCCAAACCCAATCCATACCAGTTGTATAGGGATAATGTGAAAGCCCGAAACCAAACTAGAGCTGCGGAGACACCTTTTTACATCGCTGCGGCGAGCGTGTCTGCGCGCGGCGATGTTCAGTGTGTATGGTCACATGAGAGCTCCATCTCATCATCCTACTTTCCCCTCGAACTGCGCCGCGCGATTTCTCACGAAAGTGGTCTGCGCAAGCTGCATTGTTCCAGGCTGCTGCGCGCAAGTTGCTCTCTGCAAGCTGCTGCGCGCAAGTGCTCTGTGCAAGTTGCTCTGCGCAAGTGCTCTGAGCAAGTTGCTCTGCGCAAGTGCTCTGCGCCAGTTGCTCCGCGCAAGCGCTTTGCGCATGTGCTCTGCGCAAGTTGGTCTGTGCAAGTTGCTCTGCGCCTGCTTTGTGCAATTGCTCTGTGCAAGTTGCTCTGAGCAAGTTGCTCTACGCAAGGGCTCGCCAGTTGCGCCGTGCAAGCGCTTTGCGCATGTGCTCTGTGCAAGTTGGTCTGTGCAAGTTGCTCTGCGCAAGTGCTTTGTGCAATTGCTCTGTGCAAGTTGCTCTGCGCAAGTTGCTCTGCGCAAGTGACTCTGCGCAAGTTGCTCTGCGCAAGTGCTGCCGGAGCTGCGGGGGTGTGCTCCGCGTACTTAAAAGTTGCGATTCTGCAGCCGGAGCTGCGGGGTGTGCTCCGCGTACTACGTTTGTACTTAAAAGTTGCGATTTTCCAGCCTGAGCTGCGGGAGCACGCTCCGCATACTACGTCTGTACTTAAAAATTGTGATTTTCCACCCGGAGCTGCAGGAGCACGCTCCGCGTACTACGTTTGTATTTAAAAGTCGCACTTAAAAGTTACGATTTTCCAGCCGGAGCTGCGGGAGCACGCTCCGCATACTACGTCTGTACTTAAAAAATTGCGATTTTCCACCCGGAGCTGCAGGAGCACGCTCCGCGTACTACGTTTGTACTTAAAAGCTGCGATTTTCAAGCCGGAGCTGCCGCGGACCAGGGGGGAATCGAACCCGCGACCGCGGGATTGCGAAAGCAGGCGCGCAAACCACGAGACAATTCCAAACACAGCGCCACAGCGAGAGCGCTTCGACGCGCACAATCTCCGCAGAGGGTTCGCCGAGACCACAGCGAGAGCGCTTCGACGCGCGCGAGCTCCGCAGAGGGTCGCGCGCGCGCCGCAGAAATCGGAAAAAGTTCTCAGTTTTTGAACCTTGACCACGCGAATCTCCGCGAGGGTCGTGCGCGCACCGCAGAAATCGTAAAAAGCCCTCAGTTTTTGAACCTCGACCACGCGAATCTCCGCGAGGGTCGTGCGCGCACCGCAGAAATCGTAAAAAGTCCTCAGTTGTTGAACCTCGACCACGCGAATCTCCGCAGAGGGTCGCGCGCACGTGCTAAAAAATCGTAAAAAGCCCTCAGTTTTTGAACCTCGACCACGCGAATCTCCGCGAGGGTCGTGCGCGCACCGCAGAAATCGTAAAAAGCCCTCAGTTTTTGAACCTCGACCACGCGAATCTCCGCAGAGGGTCGCGCATGCTAAAAATCGTACAAAGTCCTCAGTTGTTGAACCTTGACCGCGCGAATCTCCGCAGAGGGTCGCAATCCCGAGCGACGATCAAACTCCCGCCCCGGCGCCTTAGAAACCTAAACTAACTTACATAGCTGCTAACGCCGAAGCTCTAAGCTCTACGTAACCTTGACTCTGTGTAACTTGGCTCTATGTAACTTGGCTCTATGTAACTTGGCTCCATGTAACTTGGCTCTATGTAACTTGGCTCTATGTAACTTGTCCAAGGGCTCCGCACGGAAGAACCCTTCGCGATGCTTTCGGGAAAACACAGAAAACAACAGGAGTCTTTCAAGGATACATCCAAACGCCGATCCAAACCACCCAAAGGTTCGGGCTGACCATTGGTCGTTCAGGCGGCACATCACAGGGGCTGGGGGTCCGGGGCGCGGATGTTCGACCCCTTGCTTCCATTTGCTTAAGCCCACTGGAAAAAATATATATATATATGTATATATATATATATACAAATTAATACAATCCAGTAGTGAAATTGATTTGATTCCCTTTGAAACCAAGAGGGAAAAATAAAAAGAGTCTGAAGCAATGGAAGCTTGACGATTCTTTTTTCGGGAATCACCGGGGTTCTTGGCACAGTCACTGGATTTCCTGAAACAAGTTGATTAATTTGTGGGTGGTGTCCATTGAAACGATCGTAACCCCCCCTACTAGTGGGTAAGTGCCAACATAGGGGACCGCCAAAATTGTGGTTTTCCTTATAGTCCGTGCCAGACCTCCACAAAACGATGCCCTCAAAAAACCAGCCAGCCAGCCAGCCAGCCAGTCCGCCCACCCGCCCACCCACCTACCCAACCAACCAATCAACCAACCAACGCGCACACACACACACACAGACATACACCCAAGTGCTTGGCAAGCCGTTTTCCGAGGCGCTTCGCGATCAGCGGCGACTCCTCCCTGCGCCGGTTGATGGAGGCGCTTGACGAAAAGTGAGTGTCGGTCGGGCCGCTTTCCAGTCCGTGGATGGACAAAATCATATGAGCCATAATCAAAACCTGGGTAGAGGAAGGTTAGTAAGGGACAATCCCAGCCATAAATAGCTGCGGCTTCCTTCTTAATTCTTTACATGGTTCTGGGTAGACCATTTTTATACCGGGTTTTGTTTGTAACTCGTTGGGTGTGTTGTGGTTTAGTGGACCCCCCACAATGGTGGGTTCTGTTCCGGTTTCCCTCTAGAACCGCCAAAACCGGGGATAACCCCAAAAATATGACATGTGAGCCACGTCCTCACAACTCGGGGATTGATGAAGCTTAGTAAGGGATAGTCCCAACCAGAAATGGGTGCCTTCGCCACCTGTTTGGTTCTTTACATGTTTCTGGGTGGACCACTTTGAAAGATACCAGGTTGTGATTCTGACTCATTCCGGGGGTGTCTCACAATTGGGGATCCCTCAAATGGCTGGTTTCCTGCGGACTTCCCCTAAAACCCCTCCAAAAAGCGTTTCCTTGTTTTGAGACAGACCCAAATCGTGCCAGTTGGGAGGTTGCCTGTAAGTTGCCTGTGGTCTATCCCAGTCAGATTCGGGCTTTTGATCCATCCAGCACATGTGCCCCAGCTAGAATTGTAGGTACCTCTTCCCAACCGGTCTGCGTGTCGAAGCTACTTCGGATGGTTGCAAAATCCCTTTCGCACGAGTTGGCAGGTGGTCTATCGGTCTATCCCAGTATCCAGCAAAAGTCTTGGCATCCAGAGTACAGGGGTCATTATTTTGACGGTTTCTGGGGGTTATCAAAGTCAGAACATAGGGTTGTTTCCCTTTAGCCTACCATTTTCGGGGTGACTTTGAACATGGTACAAAAATGAGGCCAGGGGTACCAAGAAAAATATCCTTGGTGCCAAAGCTACGGGGATGGTCGTGGAAAAGTCACAACTATGGACTGCCGGGGTGGTTGGACATTTGGTCAGGAGCCCGCACGCGTCAGGTAAGGGATGGCAACCTCTTTGTTGCACACAACCCATTTGGGCGTGTCAAAATAGGCCAAAGGACCCCACAAAACGAGGGTTTCCTTTTGGTTTCCCTTTCGCACCACCTAGGAAACCCTGTTTTTGGATGATTCCCCTGTAAATACCAACAAACAAGGGTTTTCCATGGTTGACAGGTGGTGCGAAATGGATTTCGCAACCATCCACAGTAGGCGCCCGCCCACCGTTTTGAAGCAGAAAGAAACAAACCGCCTGCATCCACTTCTGGAACCCACTAAAAAGCCCTATCTCCATAGCCAAGTGTCTTCACAGAAACAACTTGTTGGTCTCATGACGGGAACCCTGACAATGATTGTACTCCCCGCCAAATTAAGATGGAATTCAACACGGGGTTCCCCAAAATAATAGGAGAGTCCGGCGATTAGTTTGTTGGATTCCATGTTAATCTGAAAAAGAGTCGCACAATTCCCCAAGGGATACCGGTTAGTTGTGACCATCTAGACAGCCAGCGTTGCGGCTTCGTTCGTTCCCTCTGCTGTAAAGTAACAATAACAAAGCAGTGACGGTAAACAGAAAGAGGAATATGAAACCGACTAGAGACTCTAGAAACACATGAGCCCAGATATTATATCCCCAACAGCCCCGGAACCCTTTGCAGGGAGTTTCCTATCTGGGCAGAGCTGTGTCTCACCGGCAAGAGGGACACACGGGCAACAAGAGATGGCTCCAAAATTGAGTAGCCCTATTTGGCGCCTTTGTAAATGGAAAAGACGGGAAGACCTGCGTGTTTCTGGCTCTCGAACATCTTGAGACGTACCCTTTCTCAAGCTGCCTTAACCATTGATATGGGCACCCTCGAAAAAGACAAAGCAGGTCGTTTCAAAAAACAGAAGCCATTCAAGGTCCCACCAGCAGTGCCCTTTTACCTTTTTTTGTTTGGGGGAAGGGTTCCCCGAGTAAACTAGCCTACAGAAAAAAAAAAGTCGGTACCTCTCTACTGGAGGACCTAGGCATTAAAAGGCCCCAGAGTTGGCTTTGGCGGTACCTCTGCTCTCGGTGCGGCAGGCCCCCTTGGAGGAGATCTTCCGAGGCCGGGGCGGGATTTTTTTTAGGTGGGTCGCCCCTGGGCGTGGGAAAGGCCCGGGGGTTTGGTCGGGAGTGCAGGAACCCCCTGCACAAAGTCCGGAAGCCCAATTTTGGGAATTCTTGGCGGTTCCCACCCATCCGGGTCCTTAGGTGTTGTTATTGTGTTTCCATCTAACCCACAAGTTAAGCTTTTAGCAGGGGATCAGCTTGGACAGCCCAGAATAGTGACAAAGTCATGAAACATATTCTTTGGCTCTAACTCCGACAACCCTGCACTTGGAGACCCAATCGTAAGTGGTTAATCCCAGCTGGTAATCCCCATAAAGCGTGGCAACTCCTACCTGGGGGACTTTTTGCCATTGCCTTCGGTGAGGGTTTGCCTTTTGACCCGAAACCAGACACTAGAGGTTGGAGTTTCTCAAGGGATGGCCGACAGGGTGTGCCTATGTGGGTGTGTCTTTTCTTTAAAACCCACCAAAGAGGAGTAGCCTCAACAAAGACGCACCTCTACCGATCAAAGCAAATTCACTTTTGAACTCGCCTGAAAAAGTGATGTTTAAATCCACCATGGCTAATGCCCTAAAGATTGCAAGTAGACCAACCACTCTTTGCCACAATTCCGTGGGAGTTTGCAGTAAATCAGGGTTTTCCTTGCTCCCAAACTTGGAATATTTAGGGCATCAACAACCATGGACCCCCTCGGTTGGTACACTCCACAGACAAGTTACCATGACCCCCACCCTCCAAAGTGTGTGGAAACCTGGTGCCGTGATGTGTCTCAGATTTCGGCAGAAAGGGGGGCGGTGGGTGAACCACAATATGTTGCCTAGACTAATCAAGTTCCTGGTTTTCCTTGAAAACCACCCTGCCTTAGCCATATGGCCTCACTCAGTATTAGAATCGGGGTGCCGGGCACTCTAAAACCAGACTAAACCAGGATTCTAGGAGCACAATGCGACATGTATTGCGAGGCGACCTTTTTGAGGCTGGTCTGCTGATCTAAGCTGCGCTGGTGTTATGGGGGATAGGCTTTGGGAAATGCTCACTTTGCTTAAGCTAGCAACCTTGCTGGTTCTCAGCGAATGAGACATGGAATGACCCCCCCCCAGAAGAAAAAACCATCCCCTATTCCCTGGATTGTTCCCTTCTGAGCAGCAAGCAACTTGGATGACCAGCCTTTTGGGGTTCAAACCATCATGAAAACAATGGGGGTTCCTATGAGGTAGTAAGTGGCCCTAGCCCTAATTTGGCGAACCGAGCTCCCAAGTAGGGTAAACCGCTCAGGATTGTCGTCCCAATTGGGTCCCTATAGCCACTAGAAAAACCCATCCCCCCCCAAAGTTGGGCTCAATTTGCATGGCCGTCCGAGTTTGTTGCTTGCTCCAGGGCGCAAGGAGGCCTTGCGCGCGGTGGAGGCGCCTGGGGGACATTCCTCAGTGAAGCCGTTTTTGTTGGAAAATCCGAAAGCGTGGCGGGGCCCAGGCGTCCGTTTTTTTTAAGTGGTTGTTAGGTGGTTTAGTGGTTGCGTTTCCGAACTTAACCCACAAGTTGGTCACTCCCAATGGACACCACCAAATTGAACAAGGTTGGGGGAAGAAACAACTCAGCAAACAAGCCTCCAAGTGGCTGAATCCTTCTGTTAGAAGCGGTTCTCTTGAAAGTGGAAATGTAGTCATGAAATGGGAATCCCACTTTGGTGCCAGACAGAGGCCCACTTTCCACCAGAAGCTTCCCCCAGAACGATTTCGTGCGAGGTGTCGAAATGTCTGGCTTGGTCTATGGTTCATTTGGGGATGGGGAGCTCGACATTTCCCCACCAGGACCACCAGGAAAAAGTTGGCTTTGTTGTCAAAATACTGTGGATGGACGAAATCCTGCACCACCTAAAAAAAAGTGGACTGATGATTCCCCTGTAAATGCCAACAAAAAGTGGTTTCCTCAGGTTTCAGTTCGTGGTGCGAAATGGATTTCGCAACCATCCACAGTAGGGAACCTCTGCAAGGGCTGTTTTTGCCTGTGGCTTCCCTTGCCACCCTCAAGAAGAACACGCACATTTATGTGCTCGTAGGGCTCCGAATGTTTTTCTCCGGGTGGATTCCCAATTCTCCTCACCCATCGTTCCCTTCCAGAAACCGCCCATTCTCCCAGGGGGTTTGACTTGACCGCCGGTATTTTGCCATCGCCAGTCCACCCAAGCCTACAAGAAGCAAGTCCTGACGAAGCCCGTGCGCAACAACAGGAGAGACTTCCCGCTTTCCAGATCGCCGGATCTGCGCTCCTGCGATGTTGCAAAATCCGAGGGGGGGGTGGGGGCGGGCGTCGTTTTTTGGTTCCTTTTGGTTTCCCTTTGGCTTTGTGTCGGGTCTCAACAATTGTCCAAAAGGTTGTTTTTCCCTTTTTGTGAAGCTTTGGAGACCCTCCAAGCAGTTTTGGCTTGCCTTGGGCCCTTTGGTTTCCCATTTGAGACTTTTGAGGGAACGATGGTTTTAAAGGAAAGAACAGAGGCAGCCAGCAATTTGTTTGGTGTCTCCTGTTGTGAGACAAGCCCTTTTCTACATAAAGCTTCCTCTCATAGCCCACATACAGTGACAGGTTAGCGCCCCCCAGCTAAAGGCATGTTTGTTGGGCAAAATCCCGATATAGTGTGTACACTAAGGGGTTCTTACGGTAAGAGTTAAGGCCGGTGTAGCGCGCTCAAAGTGTTGGCCCTGTGCGTTAAAGGTTGTCTTCGATGCGACAGTCTCGCACGAAACGCCAAGGCGCGCGGGCGGTGCGCTCTCGCTGTGGCGCCGTGCTCATTTTTCGGCTTTAGCTGGCAGGGGCAATACAGTAGAAGGACGCCTTCAGGCGTGCGCAGGTTTTCGCGTCGACACAGAGTGTGGTTTTTGAGGAAGCCTCGCACCAACCGCTTTTTTTGATTAAACTAGAAGAGACCAAAGTGCGTTTTTGATGGCAGGGCCGCTACGCGGTGGATGTTTCTTGTCGGGTCAGGCTATGATGCTTGGACAATGGGCCTCTAAAACCATGGCAGTTGTCGCAAAAAGTTGTCTCAAACAGTTGTCTTGCGCGCGACAGCTTCGCATGAAACGGACCTTTGTTCAAAGCTGCGCTCTCGCTGTGGCGCCGCGCCGATCTTCGATTTGTGTGTTGACGGCTGGATTCCATGGCCAGCGCAGCATCCTGTGACACTGGCATGCGTTTTTCGTGGTGGGCGCAGTGTGTTTCGCGCTAACAGAGGAACGTACGTCGTACACTCCTTTCACACTTAAGCTCTGGAGCGCGTACGACTCTTGTACTTAAAGCTTGCAAATTTCGACCTGGAGCTTCCCCTGAGGCGGGAGAGGTGTCAGGGTCTATTTAACGTTTTTCTATGCTTCCGGGCCACCTGTTGTCAAGTCAAACCCAATGCTATTTGGGGCCTTTTGCCAGGAAAGTGCATCTCAAGCTGTTTCCTTTTCCAATGTATATGTAAAAATAGCGGACCCCCAAATGACAGTGGTTTCTCTTTGGTCTCACTTCAAACCAGCCCCACACAAGACTCAAAGCTGCGCTGGTGTTATGGGGGGAATCTTTATATATAAGCATCTTGCCCGAACCAACAGTCAATAGGCTTTGGGACACGCTCACTTTGTTTAACCTAGCAACCTTGCTGCTAATTAGACATGGAATGGCCCCCTATAAAAACCTTCCCTGTTCCCTGGATCATTCCCTACTGAGCAGCAAGCAACTAGGATGACCAAAGCAATGGGGGCTCATATGGCCACCATTGTTTGCCGTTCAGGATATTCTTTGAATGGGGCCGAGGAACCGGCCCTACTTGGATGTTCGGCCAGTATAGCCCCCCGTATAACAAGTGTGAACCCCACGTTCACGGGCAACTTGAAAATGGGTTATAAGTTCTAACCGCCTAGGATACCAAGAGCTGACTAACTTGGCGAATCGAGCACCCAAGTAGGTTTACCGTTCAGGATTGTCGTCCAAATTGGGGCTTCCCCAAGGCCTGAGGCCATTCTTCTGGGGGAAAGTTGAACCGAACCCTAGACTTGACTGCTATTGGGTTGGATCTTTAGACTTTCACTTTTTGGGAAATCACGGGGTTTTCCACCAAGCCCCCAAAAAGTTAAAGACTTTTTGCAGGGGGGTCAACAGCAACCCATTTTCGAAGACATGCGCTGAAAACCCATAGCCACCCGCCACCCCCGCCCGCCCGAGCCACTTGTGACTCCAGGACCAGCTTCGACGAGCTCGCGGTGCGCAGGGCCCGGGGCCCGGGCCGTGTGGACAGGAGGCGAAGTCCAAACGGGACGGCCCGAACCCCGAGGCCCGAATTTTTTTTGCGTCTCTTAGTGCAGAGGGGGGGGAGGGGAGGTGGCATGGTGGACATGTTCCCCCCCTGCTGAAAACATGTTGGAGTGGTTTTTGCTGGAGATAGTTGGGTTGTGATTGGGGACCTCATTCCGAGCAACCCGGCTCCGTTTCTGTGGCACTGGATTCTAGACTCCCCAAGGTTTTGGATCCATTTTCTGCACCGATTGGAGTACAAGGGGCTAACACATTACACACATTCTCTGATCATGACTGCATTCGGTTTTAGCGTACCCCCCCACAATCCGTTCTAATTCATAGGGCCATCTAATCCTTGCCCACCAGAATGGTTCTCGGAAACCTTTTGTGACTCAACACAGTTCCTTCAGAACCGGTCTCAAGGGTGTGTGACCCACCAAAGGAACTCGGAGTGCGACCCCGCAATTTAGGGCCATTTAAAGTATGAACCCTTCTAAGACTCCCTAAGAAGGTTCTGGAAAGAGCACTTGTTGGGGCCCGCTATTTTTTTTAAACGCATTTACTGTTTTTTTCCCTAGAGGCGCTCGTTCTGAGGCCTTGCGGGACGTATACCGCAGCATGCCCTTCCATGACTTCACCTCCTTCATCAACTTCTTGCTGCGGGCCTTGCATGCCGTTAAGGACCGCTTCTCGCGCCAAAGAACGCGCTCAAAAACACATGGGAGGATCCCATGGGTTTGTGGATCTTGGAGTTGGTACCTTTTTCTTGGTCTTGGGTTTTATCGAAGAGCAGGGGATTGACTTCCCCCTCTTCAGGGGGTTTTCCTTTGGCATACGTGGAACACTCTGTTGCTTTCCCGCGCAGGGTGTTTCTGGGCCAGGCCCAGCGAAGCGAAGACCCCCCCCCCCAGCGCGCGCCATGTCAATGTTTTGACGAAGGGTCCGAGGAAGTGTTGGAAGCGGGTGTCGGCTTGTGGGTAGCTAACAGCCCGATGCCTTTTAAAGCAGGGGATCAGTAAACGGACAGCAAGCCGCCAACTCGGAGTTACCTGCAACCCTTTGGCCGGTATTTGAAGGCAGGCCAGCAGGAAACCAAGAAATCAGTCTCCCCCTAATGTGTTTGGGTTGGTGGTTTGCACTCGACGCCGAAGGGTCGCCAAATGCTTCCCGTTGCGAGGAGGACAAGGTGGACCGCGCGAAGTCGCTGTCGCCCCTCTGGCATGACGACGACCCCTCGCTTCGGCCTCAAGAGGAGAAGCGGGAAGAGAAGCAAGAAAGATCAGGTTGACTCACTTGCCATGGAAGCCACCAGAGAAATGGTCCCTTGTACAAGAACATAGTCTTCCATTTCCCCCCCTCAGTCAGGTTCCAGAAAACATGGAGAGGAGGGTTGTTGATCCCATATGGATCAGCCCCAGTTTTCTTAAGCTCAATTCGGTTGGGGGTTTCCCCTCCAAAACTGGGTTTTGATTTCCCTCCACACCCAGGACCGGAAAAGCACCTGTGAATACACCGGGGTTGGTTACATCGGAGCTTTTGGGGCTGATTTTTTTTTGGAGCCAAGCCGTGAGGTTCCGCTATGCCGTGGGCCCTGCGGGCCAGAACAAGTACACGCCCCGCGCGGGCCGCGAGATCACGCCGATCACGGCCCCCGGTGGAGTTTTCTGGTTTTGTTCTTCGAAAAGGAAAAAAAACGGGCGGCTTTCAGGTTCCCCTCAATTGTTTTTTTTTTGACGCTAGCCTCCAACTTCCAAGCCACCAAACCAAACCACCGAGTAGAGGGAAGCTGAAATGACCACAAGTTGGAGGTTTGGATTTGATCGGATTCGGATTTCAAGCCCTGGTTCTTGAGGGTAAAGCTACTCCCACAACTTCGCCAAAGCCCGTTTTGGTTCTACCACCTTGGCTATAATGGCTTCAAGACCTTGCAACCCCCATGAAACTCGGTAGAACCATGTGTTGTAAAATAATATCTGCAGGTTTCCTGGTGGATTGCGTTAACCAGGCCCTGGGCAACTCCCATTGCTCTCCTACAGGTTGAGGTGGAACGCACACATCCGTCATGATCCGTCATGTGTGCAGGAATCTGCGTTTGGGACCCAACAGCAATTGCGGGCACCGCCCTTTCGAAGGGAATTGAACTTGCACCAAGGGGGAAGGTGTGGGTTTGTAGTGCAAGTCAAGCATCATTGTTTTTGGGCTGCTTTTGGAGTGCTCTTTGAGAACAACACGGCTATATTCTGTACTGGTTGATTTGACCGCATATATATATATATACATAGAATATACATATGGGCGTGTCTTGTGAGGGAACCTTTTTTTGGGTTTGGTTTGAAAGGAAACCAAAAGGAACGGCACCCATCTTTAAATTCTCCTAAAGGCACACATACACACACACACACCAAAATATAAATATAAAAACATATATGCACCCACTTGTTGGACCCGCTTACAAACCCCAAAGATCGACATTTAACTGACCCGGGAAGGGCAGATTGGCTTGGTGGGACCCGGGCCCGAACAAATACCAACCAAACCAGCCAGACCACCACGAAGTGCAACAACACCTGACCACTAAACTCGTCAACGGAGCCTCTGAGAGGTCCTCTTTTGAAGAAGCCCAGATGATCCGATCGGCGCTTGCCCCACAAAATATTGCTTGTGATCAGCAAGCCACGTTTTTTTTCCTTCTTTTTTCTTATTCTGGTTACCCCGATGGAAACTGGAAACATTGGGCCCTCTAAGGGGACCCCCGTGCATAAGATCGAGAGACAACCACTTCTTGCCTGCCGCTCAAGTGGCTTGCCTGGGTCCCTCGGGCAGGGCAGAGCCCCGAGCTGCGAAGCGCGCGCAGAGCACTTTCAGATGATAACCTCGCATTTGGATGTTTCTCAACATAGTGGTCCCGCGAAATGCTTGGTTTCTGCTTGGTTCCCCTGAGCTTCACAACCAGGAGAGGTCCACTCTTTTGATAACCACCCAGCGTATGTCCCAGTTCTTGGCTGGCTGAATTTGGAGCTTCGGGAGGGCCCTCCCCCCACACCAGCCCCCCAAACACACACCCAGCTATGGTTGATTTTAGTTCCCTTCAGGCGTGCTCTTTGGAGGGCGTGAACGAAGCCGCGCCGGGGGGGTCACCTATCCGCAGTCGGAATCGCTGGATTGATTTTCACGACCTGGGCTGGCCTCTGCCGGCTTTCCCCTCAGCCAGCCCGGATGGTTCCCAGGTCTCCTGAGGATCATGGGCTTCGTACACCTCAACGACCAGTACTGGGTTTGGCCCACCGCCCACGCCCCAGCGAAAGGCGTCCAAGGGATTATTTTTTCTGGGCAAGGGCGCGGGAGGCGAGGAAAGGACCTTCCGGGTGTTGGGCATGAATCGTTTTTTTTTGCGATTCCCGAAGAAAGGACACCAGTTGGATGGTTTAAGTGGCAAGGTCATTCCATTTCTTGTTCCCTGCCTATCGAACCTAGGGATTCCGGTGAAGGACAACTAGAAGGGCTGGTTGAAAGGGGTCATTCCCTCTGTTCCATTTCTCATTCCCTGCATCTCTCGGTTTTGCCGATTGCACGTTTTGGGACCCTAGTTTGGTTGAAACGGACACCAAAAGGAACGCCGAAATTTGGGGTTCACGTCCCGTTTTGTTTTGACACATACGTGGTTCATGCCTCCATTGTGTAAGTCCCTGTGGGTTGCATGAAGGGTAGCTGGCAATTGGGTTGTTTAGAGCAAATGCCACATGGGTGGGAGAATGGAACGTGCGGGCGAATGGTTTGCACTTCGCGCAAGATCCCACGTGTCTTGTTGGACACGTCCTCGTGAAAGAGACCTTTGGGGTTCACAACCTTTCTCAGCTATCTCTTAATTGGTTGGGGGATTTGACGCGTGCCTATTGAATCATGGGAAAGGTACCCAACCTGAGGTCCAAACCAAACCAAACCACCAGAAAGCAACCTGATTTTCCATCGAACCTAAAGGTCGAATGACCTGTCGGGCGTTTGGGGGAGGCAGCAGAACCTGACGCTCGAATGCTTGGGAGGGAGCAACCAGCAGTCAGCCGACTTTTGATTCTGGCCAACTTTCGGGGCACTGGGGATGATTACAAAATTCGGCGATCTCTTCGCAGTGGATGTAGCTCGATGGTGAGAAAAAACGGGGATCAACCGCCTGGTGCGAAATGGACTTTTCTTCTATCCACAGCCAGGGAGGGATTAGACCCGACAAAAATCGTCGGACTGGCGCCGGATTTGGTCCGGCTGGACATGTCTTGCCCGCTTGGGCCGCCTTCCAGCTCAGCGGCCGATGCCCCAAAGATTGGGAAGGGAACGAGGACCCCCGAAATTTACCCTTCTTGTACCATGGCTTGGGTGGGTGGGTGTAACGACATGGTGGTTGCATCTCGACCTGGGAGTCCGGTTTCCTCGCGCTTGGAGAGCACGTGAGCCACCTGCTCAAAACCCGGGATTGGTGAAGGTTAGTAAGGGGCAGTCCCTGCCAGAAATAGTTGCGGGAATCCGTCTTCTTAATCTTTGAAGTATGGTTCTGATACCCAGTTTTGATTGTGACTCACGTATCGGTTCTCCGAAATTTGAAATGAAGGAGTTCTCCTGGTAAAAACCTGTAGGTGTGCTCCTCCGACTCCGCAGTCGATGGCACGAGCTCGACTTCTCCCAAAGGGGCCAAAGGAAGCCTTGAGAGGTACAGGTTTGACCAGTTCAATGCAACTTGCTTGTTTGTTTGTTTGTTTGTTTGTTTGTTTGTTTGTTTGTTTCTTTGCTTTGTGTGTTTGTTTTTTTGTTTGTTTGTTTGTTTGTTTCTTTTTTTATGTCTTGTTTTGTTTCCCCCCGGAAGCCCCAGGACCCCGCACCGCGGCTTTTGCCCCCGCCCCGGTTCCCACCTTCGGCTTCTTGCGGCTCCGGGCCGATTCTCGGCTTCGGCGCGAGGTGCACCTGCGGTCCAAGGGCCGGTGCTGGGCTCACCTGCAAGTGGCGCCGGACTGCCCGGGCCTCCTACAGCCGGAGGCCTCAGCTTCTGCGGCTTCGGCTTGGGCTCCGTGGAGATAGAGAGAAGTGCCTTGGAAACCAGGCGACCGTGGTTCTTCAAAAAGCACATGTAGATGTGCTCAAGAGGCTGTAGAGAAGAGGCCCTGAGAGAAAGTGAGTTGTTTCGTCATCGTTTTCTGAAGGTATCAGGGTATACATGTTGTAGCTGATAAATGGAATTTCTGTAGGGAGCCAACGGATAGGTCTGGCAGTCGTAGGATAGTCTGCGCTGGTATGTCGATATAGCGTGCACCTGCTGCACCTGCTGCACCTGTAGTCACCAACATGTTCTTCCACCAAGCCTCACTGCCAGAATGGATTGGCCTGAAACAATGGCTCAAGCTTGTTGCTTGCCTCCAACACAGTGTTCCCAAGAAGTCGTCGAGTCCCCTTCTCGAAGTTATCTTTGTGAGCCCTGCGGCAGGGATGCCCCGTTCCACCTCGCCACCTGGGGACCCGGGGGGGGGTGGTTGTCCCCTCGTAGCACCTTAGCATTTTAGAGGGTCCATGTTGATGTCACAACTCATGCGAGGTGTCAGGGAAGCCACCCAAAAAAGGGGGGCGTTGCCCCTATTTTGATACAAACCCTGTTAGTTGGCTATGCATTTTGATGGGGAATCCTATGAAAAGTGGTTGGTGGACCTAAATTCCCACCTAAATGATGTCCACCAAGGTCATATCCAGAACGAGTCCAGGTTTTGGGCAACCGGTTTTGGGGATTCCCGAAAAAAGGAAACCAAATCGGGGATGATATCTCTCGGGGCCGTTCTGACTCTCATTCCGCTGAGAACCAGGAAGTTAATACTTCAGTTGGTCGTCGGAAGGGCCTGAACCAGATTTACGGAAAGTGAAGGTTGCTTAGGAGCCCCTTGGATGAAACCTGAAACGGGGACTACCCCTGACCAGATTCCTGGTTGGTCAGGACTTGGATGAAACCACTGAAATCACTGCTGCCCCGATTTTGATAGAAACTCAGTCAGTTTATCTCAAGAAGACGTCACTTCACATCTGTTCGGCGGACTAAGGACGCGGCTGGAGCAGATGATTGACGTCTTGGGGCAATGCTGCTTGGGTGAAAATTCCGCAGAAGAAGAAGGGGGGGTGGCTCCGAGCTCCGCTTTCTGTTTTTTTTGCCCGAGGGCACCCCTTTTTTGTGCTTGATTCAAAGGGAACCCAAGCGGATCTTGAACCACCATGTTTGGGGTCAAAGTTCGGATCTTGACGCATGCCCATGTGGCCACCCGCTTACTTTTTTTGACCCAGCACACGGATCACAAAGGGTGAACCGTCTTTCCCTTGAACACTCCTCCAACTTACCTTTCCATATCGGCGATTCTGATATTCATCATATTCATCCCAACCTTGCTATGTGGCGGCTTAGCCCCTGAACCCTTTTTCGTGGCCGATCCAACCAGGGAGACCTCCGGTTGGTTGCTTCTCCTTTCGCCCATGTTTTATTATGTTTTCCCACTCGGGGGAGTGGGGGGAAGAGGGAAGGTGTCGCTTAAAATTTCCACTGGCCACAAGAAGGCTGCCGGAAGGGCGGACATCTGGGCGAATGTTGAGGGCGACCAGCTTCACAGTCATGGGTCCAGTTGGCAGAACGGAATCCAACGACTAAAAAGGGGTCCGCCCTTCAAAGCTAAGTTGGGGCCTCAACACAGGAGTTCTTTTTAGAGACATGAGTTAGAGTGTTTACGGCTCAAGTCCACGTGGGTGGGGCAACAGCCGATGCTAGAAGAACATCTTATGTTCTAGTGGGCCAATGAGATGTGTATTTGTAATGGTTTATGGTACACAACCTTTGGTCGGCTCAATAGAACCTTTTGCGTACCCTTTCCTTCCCCCCCTCCCATTAGCTGGCCAGAGAGGATGTGCGGGTTCATCAAATTGGTCAATAAACCTGGGATGACCTGTCGTTGGGCAAAACCACCGAAAAGCTGATATTTTAATATGGGAACACTGGGGAGAAGCCCTAAACGGAATATTGATCGACCCCCCCCCATGTACCAACCATGTATGTTTTGGGTGGCCGGTTCCTTAGGTTTGGTAGGATCAACCCGAACATGTACCAATCAGTCCTTTGTGGTTTGTTCCATGAGATTTGGAGTTCCTTTGTTCCATGACAAGGGAATATTGATCAACCCCATGCAACAACTTGTTTTTGTTCTTTTTTGGTGGGTGTTCTTTTGATGGAAGGGAGTTTGTTCTTTTTCATGGCAGGGAATTCGAGGCTCGTTGATTCGGAGGCAAGCCGTGACCAACTTTTTCCGGGCTCGCCACTCCAAAAGCCGCGCTTTTTTTTTCTTCTGCTCGAGGCCAAATGGGCTGCTCGGTTCTCTTTGAGGAATCGGAACCCGCTCCCAAAATGGCGAGCAACGGTTCTCCTTTCGGTCTCCCTTTAACTTGCTGGTGCGACAGGAAGTGAATGAGAAATTGAATGAACCTGGGAATTCCCGAATCAAGGAAACCACCAGTTGCATGGTTTAGAAGGGTGATTCCCGTATTCCCTGAGCACCAGCAAGTACAACACCAACCAAAAAGGGGTACCGAGGCGCAAGACACCCCGCACGTCCAAGCCCTTGAAGTACACTTTTCTGTCAAGGATGTCACAAAAAAAACCAACCATGTTTGGTGCTCCCCCTGCCGTTTTTTCGCTTCAAATCTGCCGTTCTTGGCGGCCTCGCACGGGTGAGGCCTGGTGGCCATCAACGACAAGGGCGCGAGCTTCACAGGCCGTGATCGATCAAATGGGGTGTCCCATTGGCTTCCCCCCCTTCCCCCCCAAAAAAAAGGAAAAAAGAGAAAGGTACAAGAAATGAGTATATGCCTACCAGGGTTTGTGTCGGGTGGGGAATGAGCGAATCTAGACCTGGGCGCATGTTCGTGACCAAAGGGGGGAACAAGAACCCGAAACATAGGCCCCCAAATAGGATGACCAAGAGGGAAATTTGAAGAATGGAAGTGGACCTCTTGGGGTCCCTCAAAAAGAAAGCTTTCTTCCAAATTCCGATCGTCGGCTTCCATAATTGGGAGGGTTACAGGGTTTGTGAATGCTGCGAAAGGGAATGACAACAAGTCCGGGTGTTGGGAATGAACTGGTTTTGGGGATTCCCGAAGAAAGGAAACCATAGGACGGATGCCAATTTTTTCGGGGTCCTTCCCATTTCGCATTCCCTGCTGACTTGGGGCCACAGGCTTCCCAAAACATGTCGAGTGATTCACAAATAAATATCGCTCAAAATTAGACAAGAAGGGCAAACCGCAGGTTTTGGTCCATGTTTCCCACTTACCAGGGCAAGCCATTTTGGAATTCCGTTTTTTTTTTTGAGCCACAGCCAAACCCCCAGAAATTAGTCAAAAGGTCCCGAACCCCCTGGCAGAAAGGATTCCCCACGAAAAGGGACCCTCTCACCCCACTCATCCAGAAGACCCCCCTATAGATCATGTTCTTTCCAAAGGGACCACCCATGATTAGCTTCCCTTTGCTTAAGAACATTTTTTGTTTTCCTCTGTTGGTTTAAACGGAATCTATCACTATTGGAAGTATCCTTTTTTCTTCGGGGACTCAAGCAAATGGATGTTGGTAGTGTTCTTCAGAAAAATCCAAACATTGTCCGCGGCTTGGATTGGAGTGTTTGGGACTTTCGTTTGGATGGAGGGGGAAATCCAAAGGCGATGCCATTTTCCTTTGGTGAGTGTTCGGAAAACTGCCCTTCGGGTTACGCCCAATTGGTGGTTTGGATTGGATTCGGATTTGCACCCCTGGCTCTTGTGGAGGGCAAATGGGAAACCACCCCCAAGCTCCAAACCGCCAATCCAAACCACCAATCCAAACCACCAATTAGAAAACATTTGCGGGGTTTCGCTGGATGGGCCTCAATGGGTTTGTGGGGTGCTTTACTCACTCCCTCATTTTGTGGACTTTATACTTTTCGATAAGACCGTTTCAGTGGCACACAGAAAGTTTGTGTCTTTGCCGAACCAATTCAGAAGCGAGTGGTCACTCCCATAGGCACTTTTTAAGCTGTACATCGCACATTCTGTTCAGCTTGTCTTTTGTCTTTTTGTGCCTTTTCGTTTTTGATAACCAGCCAACCACTGCCAACCAGAAAGTTTGAGTAGTTTCTCACCAGGAGCAATGGTTTCTTCCAGAATGGGGGGGGCAGGGGGGCAAACCTCACATTTGCCATGGTCAACAGCCTTTTGCTTGGGGTTCAGAGGGATGGTCATCTGCCTGGGAAGTTCTTTTTTCCCCCCCAACAGCTGAAAGCTTTGGGGTCTCAGCCCAGATAGGTTCCGGGGTGGTCCGGGGCGGCCCTGAGGTAAGGTTCCGCCAGGATTCTGCCAGGGTTCCACCAGGGTTCCACCAGGGTTCCATCAGGGTGCCACGAGGGTTCCGCGAGGTTTTGCGAGGGCTGCGGGGTGGTGCGAGCACTAAAAAGAGCACCGCATGCTGTTGGGGATATCACCTGAGCTTTTTTTTTTAACAAGCAATATGCTGATTCCCAAACGAACCATGGCTGTGCCTGGGGTTCGGCCAAATTGGTAAGTTGTTGTAACTTAGCTTATAACGCACTTTATAAGTCCCCCTTAGTAAAGATAATATGGTTAAAAGGGGGTTACACCCCAAGTGGCGAAGGACTTAGTAACTTGCCGAATCGAACATCCAAGTGGGCCAAACAAAAGGAACTTTGACCATGGCTTACCCGATTTGTTTCCTAAGCCAAACGATCAACACTCTCTCTCAGCTATGTGTCCTTATGGCCTCGGAGTCTCCACCCATCACCCACCCAAAAGTTGTGAGAGGGATTCCCAGCGGCTTGCTTCCTGTTCCCTTTTGTTGGGAGGGCCTCTTTGGTTGGGAAGGGGTCACCCCTTTGAGGTGTTTTGCCCGTCACAGACAGGGAACCCCCCTTTCCCTCCCCTGGCCACCGACAGGCTACTTCGACGTGGTGTGAGGCCCAAGGCGGAACGAAGCGAATCCTCGGAGAATTCTACTTGGTGGTTCTGGAATAGCCTATGTCACTATTGGATAGGTGTACATATATTCATACATGTATGTATATATATATATATATGTATATGCTACCCCCGACCTTTTGCTGTTTGAAGGCTATTTTGGAGATGGAATGCAGTTTTGTTTTATTAGTTGGAATGCCCCATGCGACTTGACCAGCATCAGCTCACCCTAAAATTGCAATTCCAATTAAGTGTTCTTGTTGTAAGGGCAATCCTATTTAACTTGTCTTCCAAGTCAGAGATTCTACTAGAGTTATTTCTGTATTAGATTCCATTTAATTCTAAGTAGAAAGTAGAAAGTGGAGAAACAAGTTTCCAGGAAAGGACGTTCTCTGTAAAAAATATATGTGCAATCCCGACAATGCTCTTCACAATGGAAATCCTATTCAGAGAATGTTTAAGTCTAGAAAATAAATTACGTGTTGTTCACTTTAAACTTGTATCAAAATTATATTTGTAAAATTGAACATATCATCTTGGCGAAAGACATCAACAAGAACTCCAAACATTTTTCAAAAAAAACAGTCTTTTAGGAACACCCATGTAAACTATTCTTAAAACTAAACATTCTAATAGAATTATGTCTTTATTAGAATCTATTGACACTATGCCACCAAATCAACGGATTTGAACATCTAGTTTCAAATAATAATTTGCATTACACATCTTGTTCAACCAGGAAATCCTATTTAAACTATCTTTACACTTGAAAGAAAGAGAGAGAGAGAGAGAGAGAGAGAGGAGCGACCTGCAGCACGCTGCGGCCTAACCCTTGCTTCCCTCCCGGCATCTCAGGGTGACAAAAGCCACCCTTCACTTGTATCTTTGAAATGGACACTCTTACTGGGGTTTGTTCCTTATTAAACTCCATTTCAATTCTAACTAGACAATTGAACAACCGCAATCCTAGAAAAAGATCCCCCTGAAAAAGATCATTCAAACTCTAATTGATATTTGATGTTTTAATCCTTATCGATTCTACTTTGAACTCCAAGCAAAACAATGCAACACAGTGAGTTTATTTGAACAAAACACATGTTTGCAATGAAACTCTTTGAGCAAAAATCTACGAGCAATACGTCCGATTTCTACACACGCAAAACCCTGCACTCTAAACCTGTCCATTCTAAGCCGAGGTTTGGTCGGAAGATGCACAACAGCAGCTATGTTGGAGCCAGTGGCCCAAAATTGAAAACTTTTTTTACACATAAAATCATGGAGCTAGTAGCCCATAAGTAAAGCGGGCATATTTCCGGAGCCAGAGACCCAAAAGTAAAAAAGTAGATAAGTAGCCAACAGTACAAAAGTAAGAAAATGAAGACTATGTAAAGGCAAAAAACAAGAAACGTAAAAACAAAAACAAACAAACAAGTAAACACGGAAAAGTAAAAAATGAAATAAGTAAATAAGTCCTCAAATAACAAAAGTAAACAACAAAAAGTAAAACCGAACAGCAAAAAAACGTGAAGTAATTCAGCCCATGGTCCTGAGGTAAAATGCTTTGACCATGGGCTGACTTTTTTTACTTTTCTTTTTTTCTTACTTTTTTACTTGTTCACCTTGTTCTTTAACTTTTACTTTGTTTTCTAGCTTTTGGGTCATTGGCTCCAACATAGCTGTTGTTTTGCATTTTCTGACAAAACCTCAGCTTAGAAATAGGACAGAGGTAGATTCAATCTGGATTCAAGATTCCCTGGGAAAGTTTGGCCTAAAGCTTTCAGACTGTCTTTGGACATGCGCCCTTTTTGCTGCTTTCCACCATGGCCCCCAAACAATTGCAGAAAAAACACTGCACATACCAGTGAATTCTAAAGGAAGGTAGATCCGGGAGGGGGGGGGTGTACCATATACACATGTATATATCTTGTCTTACTCCTTCTCTATCTGAGAAGGTATCGTTGCGTTCAATGACCGGGGCTGGATCGTCTCCCTTTCATAGTACCCAACGCTATTTCGTCACATTCCCCTTATATATAATATATGGGTATGGGTCAAAATAGCCATGGGGCCGCAGGTTTTGGTCCATGCTTCCATGTACCTGGGCAAGCCTTTTTGGGGTTACCCTATTTTTGACCCACAGCCATATATATATATATATACACACAAACACATGTACATATGTACACATGTGCCCATACGCACATACACTTACACACACACATCGATGCGAAGTGGTTGGGCAGGAACAAGGGCCTGCATGACACATCTCTTGTACCGGAGAACCACTTCCTCCATGCAAATGGTTGGAAGTAGTCAACGGGGAAGCGCATATCTCCGAGTGTTCATAAGGGTAGGTTGTTTTTTTTGAGGGTACCCCGTCTCCATTCTTTCCAGGATTCCTTGTTTGCAAGAAACCATGGAACACCCAGGAGGAAACTGCTGGTTTGCGAAAGAACGATGTTTGCAAAGAATCGGGAATCAACCCTAGAACCCTTTTTTTCGGGTGGTTTTAAAGTAAACCAAAAGGACAACTGTCAATTTAAATCGGGAGTCCCTTAAAAAGGCAGATCCGTACCCTAACTGGTGCTGGATTTGGTCCATCCACAGCACCAGAGATGTGATCCAATTTTAGCCAGACGCCAAATGAGCTCTATTCAAAACCTCAGCATGAAACTGAATAAATGTCCTCTTGGAAGGTCACCTGCATTTGAAGATAGCCATGGGACAAGCCGGTGACTTGTTTCTTGAGCTATGTTTCTGTGGATGCCGCCTCGCGTGGAATCGGGAACCCTGATTGTTTTGTCTTTTTCCCGCATTTTGCCAAGAATGCAGGGACTCACCGTACCTTACGGCCTTGTCTTGCGGCGGGCGATACAACCCATGGCAACAAACCTGTCACATGGCTATCTTCAAATGCATGTGACGTTTCAACAGATTGAACACCCAGTCGAAGTTGATTGGGGTCTCAGCCCAAACCAACTGCCATGGTCAATTCGTCATGTCTGGGTGCCAATCTGCTGTCCTCACCAACTACTAGAAGGAGCTCCTCTTGAAGCTCGCTGATCTAAGCACTTTGGATTCAGTTTCACTCCAGGTCATTTTTTTTGTTCGGGGGGCTTTGCAAAATGGCGCAACGGTTTTCCTTTTGGTGTCCCTTTAAAGGACACAACAAGGGGTAATTACCAACTCCAAAAAAGACACCCAAATCTTCCAACGCTCAACCGGCAAGCGGCAATCCCGAGTCAGTGCAGCTTTTTGACCGGGGTGACATTCCCTACCTGTTGCAAGGGAAGAAGAGAAACAAGCGCGTGAGGGGGCTGAGTAAGTACAAATAGTGAAACCTCTAACCACCACGACTAAATTTGGGTTTAAAGTACCCTGTTCCAACTGTGTAGGCCCTATGATTTTGCCGTCAATTTTAAGCCACGCCCAGCAACACTGCAGCTAGGATTTTGTGCTATCCACTTCCTAGCAGTGCTCTTTTTGAGGGCCTTTGAACCAACCTAGGTCCCCCAGCTAGGTGCCCTTTCTCATCCCTTTTTGGGGGAGGGTTCCCCTACTAAAATAGACTACGGAAAAAAGGGTACACTTATTCTAACCTCTGTACTGGAGGACCTAGCAACTGAAACAAATGCCCCAGCATATCTGTCTCCAACTTACGTCTCTTGCGGGCAGCGGAGTCACCACCGTCGGTTTTTTGCCTTTTAAGGTGGTCGTTTTCAAAGATGGGGTGCCCCAAAACACGTGGCATCCACTTGGGTTTCCTTTAAAACAAGCCCTTCCGAAGGGAAGAGAGCCGTTGGCCCTCTGAACGGTCGTGCCTCCACCCCAAGGCCCCAAACCGACCCCCGAGGGGTCGTGGCGCCGTCTCTCGCATGTCTCCTTCGCCTCTGAGGCGTAGCGTGTGCTCTGAGGCAAACGGTAGGGGAGTCCTGTCAACTCGCTTGGATCGCCAAGGGTCTCCAAAGGAGTTTTTCCAAGGGAACCTCCAGAGGCGATCGTTTCAATGGAAGCCACCCTTTCAGTCAACTTGCGATTCTTATCGCAAATCCGGGTGTTCGAGCCGTTTCCCTTCTTGAGGGAACCTGAAGTGGCGATCGTTTTGGAAACCACCGGTCAATTCATCAACTTTGGATTTGGTGAAATCCAGTGACCCCTGAAGGAGCAGGAATTGGTTAAACATTTTAGCGAGTCCTGCATACCACCAATATCAGCTTGTAACGAAGTCCCCTATACCCCTGCAAGTGGTACACAACTTCCATACCTTCAAAATCCAAGAAGGATAAGGTGATGTGTACATGGGGTCAGGCAAGCAATCTTAGGTTTACTTGCGTTTCGTCCAAGCGGGGCGTCTCTGTAGGGAATGCCACTTGAAGAGAGTGGCTCAGAAAGGAGCAGCTTGGGGTACGAAGGTATCCAGAAGTCTCAGTCCCTAAAGCCTCCCTATTTTATATGTGCATCCCCTGAGCCTGACACTTCAGGCGAAGAGCTTCCCAAATTGACCTGCTAGGTCCCCCAGTAGTGCCCTTCCTCACATCCTTTCGGGAAATCCAACGAGCCCTGCGTTCAGTTGCCTTTGAGAAGGCACATCCCCATTGAACCCAGCCCAAGCCAAAGACTTCAACGACTAAGTGGAAAGAGATCACAAAGTAGTCGCAGATCGCGCGTTGGGTGGACAAACTTTCAGTGGCATCCTTTTTTCCAGTTGGGTTTGGTGAACGCCTAGAAAAAAGGAACTTCGGTCAACCCCACAAAAAATGTAACCCCCAAACAACATAGGGAGCCAGTTTTCCCGGTGTCCTAAAAGTGGAGTCCCTCAGTTTACCTTTCGGGTCCTCACGCATGAAGTGGGAAAGAACCCCAGAGGGGGAATCTGTTTATCGACCGATGCACTGACAAAGCTGCTTTTTCTCCCTTCAAATGAACATGGCCCCAAAAGGACTTTCCTCCGGAAACGATGGTTGCTTGGGTTCCAGGATTCCATGTTGATCCGCGGGAGGTTATTGTAGTTCACACGGATGGGCGTGCTTGATGTGAGACTTGCCGAAATAAAGATAATCTACTCCCAACTAACGGGTGCCATGGAACGCGGGAAGGCTATCCCTTGCTTCACCGTCGGACCTCACTTCATAGCTGCCCGAAGCTTCTTAGCTGCGAGGATTCCCCTCAGACTCTTTGGATAGGACAGTCCCGGCTCGAGAAACGACACCTTGCTGCGCCCAAGAGCGTGCGAGGGGGGCGAGGGGCGCAGAACAAACTTGTTGCTTTTTGGGCAACAGCCTTGCTCCATTGGCCATTTCACTGCTCCATGCAACGATGTTCCCGCCGAATTGCTCTACAGATGCTCCAAATTTGCCGAATCCCGCCCTTGGGCAGATTGCTTCCAGGGAAAATGGATGTTTGAAGTAGTTGGCAGTTGCCCAGTCGCCTCTCGAATGCTTGCAGTGACTGCATTTCATGTCTCACCAGTCGGCCCAGCCGTGCTATTCTCACCCGTTTGCATCGGATGTGATTGAGCTCCGATGAAAAGACACGGAAGAAGAACGGCATAGCAAGCAAGAAGGGGCACCGTTTTTTGCCCCACATGTTTTGTTTGTGCTCGCCTTGGGACTTTATATGGTTTTGTCGGAAACAAGCGTCGCCTTCATAACGAATGGCCTTAGCGAGCTTTTTGGCGACCCTTTTCGCAGGCGAAAAGGGAGAGGCACTTGTCTTGCTACTTCTTAGGCCTGGTAGAGGTAGGGTAGATTTGACAAGCATTTTACTGATGACTTAAATCTGAAATGGAAGCGTGTGTGTGTGTGTGTGTGTCTCTGTGTGTGTGTGTGTGTCTGGTGTGTGTATGTGTGTGCGCGTGTGTGTGTGTGTGCGGAATCCACAACTCTCTGAACAACAAGACTTTCAAACACGCTGAAACCAGGAGTGACGTGCCACAGCGTCAAAATGGGTATTGGGTTATAGGGTGAACCAGGGTTATAGGGTGAACCAAAGTCGGCCGCTTGTCAACCCTCTCGGTGTATTGTGCTCCTGTACCATAGGTTTACCTTTTAGTGTTTGCTTACTCCAGAGAGTGGGGTAAGCCAATCCTCCATAATCCTTCCAGGCAAACCATAGTTGTCTTGGTTCCAGCTATCTCCTTACGTTTCCAGGTTTTTAGGGTCTAGTGCGGGTGTCCATCCAACCCGCTAAAAGTTAAACTTTTCGCAGGGGATCTGAGGACAGCCCTGTGGCACTTGTATTTACACACATTTTTCGGTGAGAGGCCAAGGGAAGCTCTTCTTAGAGGAGACAACCTCGTCATGGGAATGGTACACTTAGAATGGGGTAACCATCATCATCCACAGGACCCCCCTACAAGCCACGGATTGCAGTTCTTACAGAGTGCAACTTTGACAACATGTTCTTGCACCTCTTCCCCCCGTTTTGGTTTAGCAACCCCCTTCACTTGACAGCACAAAGAGTGGTGGTTTGCATTGAACCCTCTATTATTATTGAGACCAAATCGGAGAAACAAACAATACACACACACACACACTTACAACAGATACCGCGCCTCACGCGTCGCCCGCTTTGGCTAAGCTTTGAGTGTGACGCTCACCGTAGAAGGATTGCCCACCACCTGCAAGCTGCCAAGCCGCGGCAGACGGCAGACGTGCGCCTTTTGAACGCTGTTTATGGCATGGGAGCCCAGAGGGAAGATGAATGTTAACCCCGGATGAACAAACGCCTGGTGGATTAATAGCCCTTTTAGTGGGGATTTGTAACTTTTGGAGGGAACACCCCCCTAATAGTGGGACGGGTTTATTAATCCTGGGTCAACATTTCCGGGTCAGATCTTTTCCATTGGCTGGAGTTTGGCAGGAAGAGTAGGTTGGTTTCCAACCAAGCTTTGCTTCGTTTTACTCCCCTGCAGATTAAGATGGAACCCAACAAGGCAGCCCCCAAACGGAGATTCCTCTAAACCATGGTTGTTGTTTGGGTTCGCTGAAAGTCAAGTTTGTGCCTTTTGACACCCTCTTGACCTTGGGTTCAAAGGGATTCCAAGAGGTATGTCACCATTTGATCTCCCCCTCTATTTTGACACACCCTTGCACTTCAAGAGAAATCAAGAGGACGAGTCAAGTCCGATTTTGTTGGAACACCCCCCCCTTCCCCCCTGATCGCGCCGTAATCAAGAAACCGGGAACTGGGATTTTCCCGAACGAACCCTGGGATCGCTCCAGCGGGGATCGCCTTTTGGTTCGCCGGGGGCCAACTTTCCGCAGGTCGCCGACTTGTCTAGGTCCCAACCACTCATATCCCAACTGGTTGCTTTCTAGGGAAAGGAAATCACTGGGAACTGTTCCTTGGAGTTTGCGAGCACCTCAGTGCGTCAGTCCATTTTTTTGGGCTACCCTTTCTAGGTACCCCAGCTAGGTGCCCGACCTCTCACCCGTTTCTTTTTGGTTGGGAGGGCTAAAATAGACGTCCTGAACAAAGTTGGTGGCCTTATTCTAACCTCTCAGGACCCCCAATTTTGAGCCCTCAAATGGGAGAGAGACATTTTCCAAGAGGACGTAGCCATTCATATTGACCGCAGATGAAGAAGCCCGTCCTAAGAGGAGGGGTGTGGTCCCAAAGTGGTCTGACTTTCCACTAAACCAGGGACACCCCCCTAAGAAACCGGGGTTGATTCATTTGGGGTCAACATTAGCTATTTTAGGCACAGGGGTGGTAGGTTGAGCCGGATTTGTCTCGCGGCCTTCGGGCCTTTGGGGCCCGTGGAATTTTCCAGCCTCCCGATGCGGCAAAGCGATCCAGTGAGAGTCTAGTGACGTAGCTTTTGGTATTTGCTCAGGTTTCATTTGGGAGGGACATGGGGACGAACTCGACATTTCTCACCAGGAGAAGTGATCTTGTTTCAACAAGATGTGCTTTAACATGTTTAGACAAGAGTTTGGCCCAATGCTGGCTCCAGATGTTCCAATGCAGACTTAGGGGCCCGAAACAGCTCAAGAGGGGACAGTTCTTTTGGGGAGGTTCTTTCTATGGCTCGTTTGGGAGGGACATGGGACAAACACAAAATTTTCCACACGGCACGTCCTGCACCAGGAAACCTCCATAATTTTGACCTCTCATATCTCAACCCCTTGGCTACATTCTAGGGACATGAAATCACTGGGAACTTGGAGTTACTTGGAGTTTACAATCACCTCAGGCCTCTTCCTTTTTTTTTGGTACCCTTTGTTTTGTCTAGGTCCCCCAGTAGTGCCCCTTTACCCTTTTTTTGGGGAGGGTTCCCCTACTAAAACAGACTACACAAACAAGGGTGCCCTATTCTAACCTCTCTACCGGAGGACCTAGTTGTGGTTTTAAAGGGACACCAAGAGGACTACAATTTTAGTGGCCGCCCTGAACAGCGACCCCCCCGTGGGAATGTGCCCCCCGGAAGAGGGAGGATCATACCCCATGTGCCGTTCTGGCTGGTTCTAGCCTTGAATCAGTTGTCGGAGTGGAATTCCAATCAATTAGAGCTGAACTCCCATAGTTGCAACGATTGTTGCGATGATTGGCATTCAATTCCTAAAAATGCATGGACTTGCAATAATTAGAGGTCCCGGAGTTTGTAATTGTTGCAAGTATTGCAAATAGTTAGAGCATTTAGAAGTTGGACACATGAGTGCGGGGAAGAGGAAGACTTGGAAAAAACCCATGGCGACGCATCGGCCTCACTCTTCCGCCCCCCCCCCCTTTCCCGAGAAAGCGGGAGATGTGTCGGCCGACACACAAATATCTCGGTCCGTTTTTCCGAGCCCGCATTTTTTTCGACTTGGACTTCCGGGGAGGGACGTGAGCACCACTCTCGAAGCCCCGTCTTTTCCCGCATTTTCATAAGCCGTCTTCCCGTTTTAAGGCCTTCCCATGTTTCAAAAAAAAACCATCTTCTCAACAGCCCCCCTCTTCTTCCCGCATGTTCATCCCAGGTCCGTCTTCCCCCAAAAGTCACCCCGTCTTCTTACAGCCCCGTCTTCCCATTTTGAGCCCCGGTGCAAAACCGGCGCCGTACGCGGCGCTGCCTTCGAAGCCTCCGAGGTGGAGCAGCTCCAAGGCGTCCGGGCAGCGGCCGCTCCGCTTCGGTCGGTCGCGTTTTTCACGGGACGGCGGACGTTTCCCAAACCGGAAGTTTTCCGTTCCACTGGCGCTCCGAACGTTTTTTTTGTTCGTTTACTTCTTCCGTCGGGGTTTAAGGAGTGGCCGACACGGGCATGTGTTTTTTTTCTTCTCCCTCTTTCTTCTGGGCTTTGATGTATGCATGGGGCTCGATGTTTTCTCACAACCGGACATGTGTTTTTTTTTGGGCGTCTGTTTTTTTTCCTCCAGGGGGGACAAAGCAAATGGAAGGATGTGGACCCCTGGAATTTGAGTCCATGGACACCATAGCAGCAGCAACCCATCCAGGAAGAGTGCGGTGACCCGGTTGGACGCAAAATCCAGTTCGCACAACGAAATGAAGCGGAACCATCAACGTTTGTTGGGATTTACAGGGGGATCATCAGAAACCAGGGTTTCTGAGGCGGTGCAGGATTTTGTCCATCCGCAGTAGTGTTCTATTTGGGGTAGAGGAAATATGAACTTGCGGGACGACACCAAGAACATGGGGGTTGTTTGCCAACCATTTTGGAGGGGAGTCCCTCGTTTGGGGGGGAGAGAGCGGGTCTTCCTCTTTTTTTTTCTCCCCCGTCTTTTCGCTTAGGGACGACTTGCCGACCCTTGGAGCCCTGTAGCAATTTTGGACGCATGCTTCACGACTCCCAGTGGGATTTCTCCCCCCTTCCCAAGCCAACGGAGGGGAGGTGGGGTTTTGGGTTGGGGTGGGTCAAAAATTGGCAAGCGCAGGAATTGGTCAAAAATGGGCGTGGGTCCAAATTTGTCAAAAATTGGCAACACTAGGCACAAGTTGTCAAACAATTGGCAATCCATTGGGCAAAAATGGCCCTGGATGGAAACAAGGACTAAACTCTGCAGTCCATATCCTGGTGGTGTAATTGTTTGACCCATAGCCGATGAGAAAGGAGCTAGGGAAATTGTGAGGATGGTGCATGCCGGGCTCGCCCAAAGGTCTTCCGTTTGGTGAATAGTGGATTAGCGAGTTGCCCGAAAACTCCAGGGTCCTCCGTATCGCAGTATCCCCTCCAAACAATCTGTCATATTTTAGACTAAATATGAAGCAGATGCAGATTCAAGAGTTTTATGTTTCCCACTTGGTTGTTTCTCAAAACTACTGTGGTCGGACGAAATCCATTTCGCGCCACTACGAAACTATGGGTAACCATTGTTTGGTATGTACAGGTGAATCTTCATTCCAGGGGCTTCTGAACGGTGGTGCCTAAGAGGATTTCGCAACCATCCACAGGGACCGATCGATTCCTCTAGGTTGGTTTCTTGTTGGAACCCCCGTTCTAAGACCACCCGAACAGAATTCCCCGGAGCCGCGGCCATGCGAGTCTGATCAGGGCCCCTTAAAAGATCTCCATTTTGCAACCATTTGAAACATGATGCTTTTTCCACACCAAAAAAAGTTGGAAGCCACCATTTACAAGTTGCAACGTTCAGGTCTCCGATTTTGAGACCACCCCCAACTGGGTCCTACGCATTTCCCAGGGGTGCTCAGGTGCTGAGGTGTAAGGACCCCTGCGGATTTTCCGCGCTGAGAGCGGGCAACGGGCGCTGTGCCAGGAGGCTCCGGCGTATGGACCTTACCCGGTGAGGCCGTTGGAAGTCGGAGCGGGGGAAGGGCCCCCGGCTAGGTGCCCTTGGACCGTAACTTTTTTGGGGAAGGTTCCCCTACTAAAAAAGACAAGAACCAACAACCAAAAAAAAACACAGGTACCAACTTATTGTAAGCTCTCAAATCCGGAGGACCTAGCCTTGGAGTCTTGAGGTGACCTCTTGGTTTGGAGCTCGGTGGTTTGGAGCATGGGGTTTAAACCCCGGGCTCCAAGCCACCAATGTCATGTTCCAAGTAGCGCACCCCCAAAATGGGTGGGGTTTCCTTTTGGTGAAAACCACACAAATGGGGTACCCTCGGAAAATGAGACAGCCAGGTCGGTGGACATCGTGGATGGGGGAAGGGCTGCAATCATTTGCGGCCTGGGTACCCTTTTTGGGGTTGGTTTAAAGGGAACCAAACGGAAGCCAATCAACCCAATACTCCTCCCATTTCAGGGGATGTCGGAGCTGCCCAAAAATGGAAAGGGACGTGGAAAGGAAACCAACCTTGCTTGGGGTCCGATTCCAAATTTGAGACACACGCATGATGAAGTTTCAGCTTGGCGCATACTCCGGTCTGGACACGCGCCTGCCAAGGAAGCAGGTTGGAAGAGGCACTGAAACCGGGGCGTTGGCCGCCGAAGGTCCAACTAGAAACACAGACAAACTGGAGTTCCCCCTATTTTTTAGGCGGTCGAACCATTTTTTTGTGGGTTCCTTTATTTGAGATTTTGAGACAAACTTGCGTTTTTCTATTTCTGGGGGGTCGAACTAGGACCACGGCTCATATTCCGGCGTGACTCGAAATGGCAATTCGCTGTCTCAAGTCAAGCCTGGAACGTGATTTCCACTGGGAAATGCCAACGAATCTCCACCTTGAATGGTTTCCATGCGCTTGCGCGCTCTCTCCAAGCAGGGTTACCATTTTCGCTGGTTTTTGCCAGTGAAAAGAAGGATTTTGTTCCTCGCAAACTAGCGTGAAATCGGCAAGGTGCACTGGTTTTTCTCACTCAAACACCGACCGCGTTTCTGATTGCAGCAAACCTTCCAAATCAGCCAAGAACTCGCCAGGGCTTCGAGCACCTAGCGTTTGCCGCCAGTTCCACTGGAAAACCTGCTGTTTCACAGCAGGGTGGAACTGGCTAGATCCGTCAACTTTAATCTTGGCACACACCTTCGGTGGCAGCCAAGTCTTAAGAGACTGCCAGGTCCTGTCCAAAACCTGCGTGGGAGGCAAACGCAAGCAAGGACCGAGACAGTCGAACTCCAAAGGGAACCGATGAGGAATCAGCACAACCTCAGCCACAAAAGCCAGGAACGGGTCAGCAGTTTGCGTGACCACGTCAAAAAGAGAGTCTAGATATATCGGACAAACCTCAAAGAACGGACCAAGGCTTGAGTGACCACGCAGCCAGTGCGAACAGCCAGCGCAACGAAGAACCAAGATGAGACCGAAAGCCAGACGAGCGTCTTCACACAAGAACATCTGAGCCAAAACTAACAGCGAACGTTGATGCAGTCCCCACGAACGACAACATCCCCGCCCACCCCCCCACCCACCCCCCACCCCCCCAACCCCAACCAATGAGACCGACAAAGCCACAGTCAGAAAAAATGCTGTTTGACGCACGGCGGAATATAAGCCGTGGTCCAACTACTTTCGGGTGGTTACCCCCCCCCATTTCGAAATTCCAGAGGCGCACCGTTTTTTGTTTGGCCAGTGCGTTGTTGCATCGAATGGTTCCAGTGGCCTGCGACTTGTGACCGACCTGGGCCAGACGACTTCGTCTTCTCCCTTCCGATTTGGGTGCTCCAAGAGCGAAAACCCCAAAATGCTTCCCTTTAACAACATCCCAAAAGGCCGAAAGGGGGGAATCACCAGACGTTTCATCGCCTCCTGCGCTCGTTTTTTGGTCAGGTTCTATGCTGTCGAGCAAGCACGGGGCTCAAGGGACGAAGAACAGTCGTGGACCCCAAAACAGGGATATCCCCCCCAAATACATGAAGGTTCCGGGTTGAGTTGCTTGTTGGTCATTGGCTCCGGGTTGGTTCCCATTTTCCTTTTGGCTAATCCACTCAAGTGAGTTGATCATTTTGGGAGCCATTTGCCGAGTCGTGCCATTCTTCCTGGGTCCTTTGTGAATGAGAGCTGGTGACCACTTCAGTTGGAAAGTGGTTACCCTGACTTCAGTGAGTTCCTAAGTTGAGCGGGTTATTTCGGCTACTAATCACACAAAGACAGGGCTGGTCAGATTGGTTCGGTCAACATGCCCTGATCTGTTGGTCAATTTGGGATAAACATTTTTCTTTTTCAACCGTGAACACGTTGACTCTAATTTTCCCATGTCCATTCGGGTAACATCATATTTTGGCGTGGCTTAAATAGACTTAGGTTCCACAGCAGGCTCCGATTTCGTTTAGGGTTCCTATTTGGGAATATCATTCTTATGAATCGATATTCTTTTCCTCGGGATTTGAGCCAACCACAAAAAGAGCTCTTGATGTTTCGGTTAGTCACAAGGGCTCCTATTGGGAAATCCTGAATCCTGTTTAGTTTGAGGGTCCGAGAAGGGGTCCCTTCCTAGCAGGAACCTACATAGGCCTTGCATGTTTCTTCATGGGCTGTTTTGGTTCAAGGGGAACAAGGGGTATCTCATGTGTTGTGTTGGTCCAAACCTAAAGCAATTGTCCACATGATACCGTCATGTTCATTCATGGGTTTTCTTGGTTGAAATGAACAAAGTCTCCAAACCAGCCATGTGCATGGGTTTTGGGGGCTGAGAGCACAAAGGGGCCCAAGCCGTAATAGTCTTGTCGAAAAGTATGTTCGTGGTGGGTTGTTTGGCTTGAAGAGCAAACAGGGGGTCCAAACTCAATCTATTTGCGGGTGCAAAACCTTGTATGATTATCCACGGGAATCATTTCTACATGTTCATGGTCTGTTGAGAACAAACAAGGTCCAGACCGAATAGGTGTGTCAACGGGAAACCTACCTACATGTTCATTGTGTTTTGATTCAGGGGCCGAAGGCCGAACACCCAACATATTTGTCATCGAGACACTTACACGTTCATGGTTTGGTATTTTGGTATTTGAGGGGAAACGGGGGGTGTGGGGGGGGTGGGGGGCGAGTCAGCGCTTGATTGGGTGAGATCCATCCAGTCGGGAACCAATTGAACTTCAATCTCTTAGCGTGTCCTTCAGATTAACCCATCCACTGGGCAGTGATGAGCAAAGCCACAGCAGCCAGTATCTCGTTTGACGTGCGGGATGACTTGATGCTTGTGATCGCCAGGTTCTCTTATGAGGGCTTGCAAAATGCATATTTGCCAGCCTGTGGATTGTATGAGTGCATGCTGGGATGTGTGCGGCATTCTGGCAATGGTCCGCAAGGCAGCGCTGCCTCCGTGGAGCACATTTTGAAGAATGCTTAGCCCTACCAAGGGAAACCATGATGAGGTGAAATTTCTGGCCGAGTGAAAACTGGAGCAAAAGGGAATCAGAGTGCTTTCCTCGCACGGCTGGTAACCAGCCTTTTTCCTTGGAGCCAGTTTTGCCGGAACGCCGCACCGGGAACCCTCATCCAATACTCAGCTGGCTGTGGGTCAACACCAATGGTATCATTGTGGGGTAGGTGCACCACCCATTTTAGTCTATTTTAGTTGGGATTGGGATGTTCAATGGGGGTGTGGGATTTTGACCCATGGCCACTTGGCTCAAGGCATGCCACCCCAAGAATACCGGCCTCTGAATCATGGATCTGGGAATTCTTATTGACCCCAGTTGGGGTGAACAGGACCGAAGTGGTCAAAAATTTGGCTCGTCAAAAAACATAGGTACCCCAAAACGGCTTCCCCTGGCAAATGGACCTCCATGAGGGTCCCCGGTGGTTTAATCTTGGACCCATACCCATGTCTCCATTGGCACCTGCGAGAAGACTCCCCCGGCTCGCTCGGTTTTTCCCCAGGCCGGCCCCAAAGCCACCCGGAGCAGGCCAGGGCCGAGTCACGTGGCCCAGGGCCCCCAGGCTAGGTGCCCTTTTGGACCTTTTTGGCTCTTATAGTCCTTGTACGAGTTCATGGACTTTCGTGACTTTTTGGGTTTGCACCATTTTAGTTGTAAATAACAAGTTTGGGAGTTTTGTTGGCCAGTCTACTCGGGAAGTGGGATACCCGCTGCAAGGGTACATTTGGGCGTGAGGCTACCCCATTGTTTTGGTGGGTTTAATGGGGAGCCAAAAGGAAAACCGCCCATTTTACCCCAGCTGAAAGCTTTGGGGTCGATAGGCCCAGATAGGCTCCGGGGTCCGGGGCGGCCCTGAGGTAAGGTTTTCCACCAGGGTTCCACCAGGGTTCCACAAGGGTTCCACGAGGTTCTGCGAGGGCTGCGGGGTGGTGCGAGCACTAAAAAGAGCACCGCATGCTGTTGGGGATATCACCTGAGCTTATTTTTTTTTGGGGGGGAGGGTGCCCCTATTAAAATAGACTACCGGAAAAAGGGTACCCTTATTCTAACCTCTCTGCTCAAGGACCTAGTGGCAATCCACTCGCCTCACTGGAGTGAGTCGGTGGGAAGTCGTTTTTAAGGTTGGACCCACCCCAGAAATGGGTGGGTTTTCCTTGTACTTTTGCTCCCTTGCCCAAAACACACCGGGGTTCAAATAGATCCTTTCCGGCTTCCTGGGTGTTGTTCACTAGATTTCGCCGGGAGCCGGCGGGCTCGCGTTTCGGTGCACGCCCAAAGCCGTTTTTCGTTCGGCGCTCTCAAGTGCCCTCGCTTTGGGTGCCGTCTTCCGGGAGATCCGGATGGATCTGGAACGGCGGCCAAAGCCTGGCTTGAATCCAGGTCTTGAGGCCCCAGAGCCGCCGATTCTTGCGCCAGCTGCGCCAGCCTGGATCGCCTGGAAGCAGTTCCCTTCCAGTTTCCTGGTAGCTGGCTTCCAGAGGTCGCTGATTCCAGTTCCTGGGTCCTTGCTTCCTGTTTCCAGGGGGGGGGGACGGTTTCTTTTCTTCTTTCCCAGCAGATGGGTGAAAATGCACACCAGTGGCAGGTTCTAGGAGTGGTCTGCCTAGGTTCTGGGCAGGGGGTGGGTGGGTTGGTAATGTTGTTGGGGATGTGATGCAGCCTGAGAATGGGGTTGTCGGGCAGTTTCACAACCAAATGAAGCCATGATCACAGAAGCAAGATGGCAGAACGCTCCCACCAGTCAACATGGAGCCTGATTGGAGGCCCTTAGAAACTATTTCCCTTCAAGTTCCATGTTTGTGGGATGATTTTTGGGCCTTTATGCGTCAAAGTAGGGGGACCCATCCAAAATCGTTTCCTTTCGGTTCTCTAAACATTCTTTCTCCGCAGGCGATGACAGAGGTCCTACAAGAGAGGACGGCCATGATTCTGGGCCTCTCGACCGCACGAAGTAGGCAGGTTTCCAGGTCAAGTCCCTTTCCCACACTTGGAAAGGTCTGGGCAAATGAATCGCGACAAATCGCAAGTTTCAGGGACCTTGGGATCAATGGTCCCTATATGGGATCGCCATTTGTTTGAACCTATGGTAAACCATTTCTTCGGCTCCTTTCATGGGGCATCCCTGATTTTCTCTTGGTGGAGGACTACTTCACTCTCACATTTTGTGCCAGAACCCACATTTGGCTGGTGAATTTCGTTTCTTAAGGTCCTCATTTTACAATCACTCACTCAGTTGTTTAGTGGCACCCTGTTTCCATGTTTTTGGTGGCCGCCCCACTAAAGATGGTCTTCCCCAAAAAGGGTTCCCTTTTTTCCACGGTCACTGAACAACTGAGCTCAATCCCCCCGTCTTTTGCCCACTTCCGCGCCTCACGAATCCTGAGTTGCTACAGAGAAAAGTTGGCTACCAACTTTTTCTAACCTCTCCACTGGAGGACCTAGGTTTTGTCCTCAGGGAAGTAACCCCCGCGAACACCATCCGCTTGGGCTTCTCAGAGCTAAGTGATGAAACCAGCCCCCCTTTGGAGAAAAACACGAAAACCCCAACTTCCTTCCATTGGCTGAAATGAATATGTGTCTATTTCGATCTCTTCTTGGTATTTCAAAGGGAATCTATCACTGGATGTTTTTTCCAGGGGGCTGAAGCAAATGGAAGTTCTAGAATCTAAACTCCCCAGCTCCACCCTGAAGATGGAGTTGGGGGAGGGTGTGCACCTGAGGTGTGCTTTTTGGGTTAGTGTGTTAAAAATAGAAGGCGCTGGTTTAGATGGATTTCATTCCATTCACCAGAGCACCTATGAGCAGGAATCTGTAACAATGCCATGCTAACCTCGGATCAATCCAAAAGCTCGTGCCAGGTTGGCAACCTTTTTGATTTCCCCTAAGCCCGACAAATGGAGGTCAACCGGCCGGTTCAACAAGCAGGGTTGAGTTGGGCCAGGGTGGGGACCGGGGCACCGGTGTGAGCTCTATTGCTGGTTGGATCTTTAGACTTTAACCTTTTGGATACCCTCATACTGTGGATGGTTACGAAATCCATTTTGCACCACCTAAGAAACCCTGGTTTCTGATGATTCCCTTGTAAATGCCAACCAGCAATGGTTGCCCATACGAATCCTGCACCACCGTTCAGAAGCCCTGGAATGATTCGATTCCCTTGTAAATGCCAACAAACAATGGTTTCAACCATGGCTTCATTTCCTGCTGCGAGAAGCGGATTTCGATTTCAACTATCCTCAGTATGTCCTTTTCACTTGCAAAAAGTTAAGCTCCTTGCCGGGGAATCTACCCTCCCAGCTAACATGGAAGTGCACAGACCCCTGTAGAAAGATTACTGTGCTCTTGGAATGGGCCTTTTTGCACTTCCATGTTAGTTGGCGGGAGGGTAGGTGGTAGTTTCCAATTGTCCCACTAAAAGTCAAGCTTTTAGAAGGGGATCTGAGGGCAGCCCAATTTTCGGATGGCTTGAAAGGGAATCTACAGCACAGTGAGGTATGAACCCTCGGACGCTTCGTGCGCGACGGCGCTGGTACATGTACATGTGGCCGCAGAAGAGGCACTGGGCTTTAGCCCGGCTCTCGGGATATCGCAACTGGCCATCCGAGTCATATGTTTTTGTTTCTCCTTCGTTTTTTTCCTTTTTTTCTTCTTCTTTTTTCTTTCTTCTTTTTTCCCTATGTGTTTCTCCGTTTTTTTTTTTTTTGTCTATTCGTCGTGCTTGTTTGTCATTGTTTTGTGGTTGTTGCTTGCGTCCATGTTTTTTGTTGTTGCTTTTTGTTCGTGTGTGTTTGTGTCTTTTTCTCCTGTTGTTGTTCAGTTTGTTCATCAATGCTTTCTCTTTCTTTCAATGTGGTTTGACTTGTTGTTATTGTGTTGTTCTTCTCCTGTCATCCAGGCCGACATGTCGGGGCTCTGGTCTGCTCAGCAAATACTACTGCCAATGTTGTCTGCCAATGCTGTCACGCACTTCCTCGTGAGAACAAGAACAACGGCAGCGAGCAGCAAGCTGTCGAATGAGGGCATCCCAAAAGCGAAGACAGCTGCGCGACGGCGTTCGCGCCGGCCGGGTGGCAACAACAAGGTAGCAACAGGGGTCGTGGTTTTTACCAATGAACTTTGTAGAAACTTAGGTCGTCCCTTGAGGCAAAGATGCGAAATCAGCATAATTTGATCAGGGCTGCTTGTTCGTCACCACCAATGGTGATGCAATGGACGAAGGAGAGTGCAGCTGAAGCTCCGGCCGGTCAGAAGAAATGCTGACAGGGGAAGATGGTCGATCCGACATGGTGCAACCAAAGCTAGCATATTAGTGTTGGCAGCCGAAGCATGACGGGTGAATCAAGGACGAGTCACATGCGCCTCTGTGCGCGTGGCGCGCCGCTGTGTGTTTGTGGCTGCGCGCATTCCTGCAGCTATCCTCAACCAGTGTGCGCGGGCGTGGGTGCGATTGAAGCGTCGGAAATACGCACCACCCCCCCGGCAACCGCAAAAAGATGCGTGGTATTGATGAACGGCCCGGCAGCTGCCTTGACTTTGTTGCTATGGGAAAAACGACAACCCCCTCGCGGGGTAGGCATCAACAACAACAACAGCAGCAGCAGCAGCAACAACAACGACAACAACGACAACAGCAACAACAACAGCAAACATGAACAACACAACACGAAAAAGGCATAAAACTCTGCGGGAAGAAACAGAAACACCACCCAAAAGAACTGGAGAAAGCAAAGCGCGGTACAACAAAAATGATCAAAAACCAAGCGACTCAGACGCTGAGCTGACACAGGACGATAAACAAAGCAAGAACGAGTTAAGGATGTTGTTGTTGTTGTTGTTGTTGTTGTTGTTGTTGTTGTTGTTGTTGTTGTTGTTGTTGTTGTTGTTGTTGTTGTTGTTGTTGTTGCTGTTGCTGTTGCTGTTGCTGTTGCTGTTGCTGTTGCTGTTGCTGTTGCTGTTGCTGTTGCTGTTGCTGTTGCTGTTGCTGTTGCTGTTGCTGTTGCTGTTGCTGTTGCTGTTGCTGTTGCTGTTGCTGTTGCTGTTGCTGTTGCTGTTGCTGTTGCTGTTGCTGTTGCTGTTGCTGCTGCTGCTGCCGCTGCCGCTGCCGCTGCCGCTGCCGCTGCCGCTGCCGCTGCCGCTGCCGCTGCCGCTGCCGTCGCCGTCGCCGTCGCTGTCGCTGTCGCTGTCGCTGACGCTGTCGCTGTTGCTGCCGTTGTCATTGCCGTTGTCTTATTTGGTTTCCGTGTCTTGTTCTTGTTCTCGTTCTCGTTCTCGTTCTCGTTCTTGTTCTTGTCGTTGTGGTTGTGGTTGTTGGTTGGTGGCTGTTGGTTGTTTGCTGTTGGTTGTTTGTTGCTTGTTGTGTTGTTGTTTGTTGTTGTTATTTGTTTTTTCTCGGTGAGTGTTTGTTGTTTGTTGTTTGTGTTGTTGTCGTTGTTGTCGTTGTGCTTGTGCTTGTAGTTGTGGTTGTTGTTGTGGTGGTTGTGGTTGTGGTTGTGGATGTGGTTGCGGTTGTGGTTTGCTGCTGCTGCTGCGGCTGCTGCTGCTTTTAGGAGCAAAATTGCACAGCCCAAGGGAAATGGAAGTTTGACAAGTTGAGAGGTTGGATGTTCTTTGAGGGCGCGCGCGCGCAATTACTCATTGGCTCCTGATGGCCTGCCAGCACGCCATGCCCGGACTCGGCAGTAACTCCGGGCGAAGCAGGACGCCTGCGAGCTGCTGTGCGCAGCGTTGCGGATGGGCGGCCTGAGCTTCCGGACTTGGCAGTGATCGTGCAATGTCTGAACACATGCCCTCAGCCTGGCCTTTTGGCCTTCACCACGCCCGGCCTGGCACCCCCCCTTATAGCGCCCAGGAGGGAGAATTTTCGGCTCCTGCTGCCTTGTTGTTTGCCCTAGCATTTATTGGTGTTTTATTGATTGCGCTCCGGTGTGGTTGTTGGTGTGGGCGTGGGTGTGGGCGTGGTGGTGTGGGTGTGGGTGTGGGTGTGGGTGTGGGTGTGGTTGTGGTTGTGGTTGTGGTTGTTGCTGCTGGTGCTGCTGCTGCTGCTGGTGCTGCTGCTGCTGCTGCTGCTGGCTGCTGCTGCGGCTGCTGCTGCTGTTAGGAGCAAAATTGCACAGCCCAAGGGAAATGGAAGTTTGATAAGTATTGGCTCAGCGAAGGGGGAGGGGCGGGGAAAGGTGAGTAGTCAAGCCGGGGGCATTTAAGAGGTTGTCATTGTTCACAAAATGGGCGGAAGGCCTTTTCATTGGTTTCTGGGTGGACGCGCGGCTGTTTTTTTGCTTGGAGTTGATGTGTCCCAGTCGGCTGACATTTGTTGACGCTAGGTGGAGATGGTGAGGCTTCAGACGCAGGCGTCAGTGACAGCAGGGGGTGGGCGGAAATTTGGGTGTGGAGTTGCTCCTCACGAGTGTGTTGAGGGGCAGAAGATTCGCAGATCGTGCCGGGAGGTGGAGGGAGGCAAGTACCACTCTCCGTGCAACGGCCACAGGCGACCCGTTGCGCCAGTTGTTTTTGGGCGAATTTTGGCGGTCGCTTTTGACCGGCTGTCATTGGGCAACGCCAGGTGGACAGGCGCTGGCCGCAGCCGGATCTGAAGTTGCTGCAGGCGTTTGCGACTTCG